TAGCTGAGGTTTAGCTTATTAGCTCCAGGAGTAGCTGAGGTTTAGCTTATTAGCTCCAGGAGTAGCTGAGGTTTAGCTTATTAGCTCACGGAGTAGCTGAGGTTTAGCTTATTAGCTTCAGGAATAGCTGATTGTAGGACGAAGGAATAGTGAACTCGTGGATAAGAAGTTTAAGCTTGAGATTGTCATCCTCGTCCAGTTCTTGAGCTGTTTCTGATCAGGAGGCTGTGTTTTCGGCCATGGTTCTTTTGTTGCCTGGGGTCACCACTTTAGATGTACATTTCTTGCTTCTAGATAAAATAACAAATTAAATAAAGAGTGTATAAAAGGAGAGGAAGTTGAGAAGGTCTTCTCCAGTTCCAGGGTCCGACACAACTGATTTGCGGATTTCATAATCCTCTTTCGGGGATTTCATATCCTCTACAGTGTATACCTTTGTGAATAAAACATAGCATTCCATAAATCAGGTGTATACCTTTGTGAATAAAACATGGCATTCCATAAATTAGGTGTATACCTTTGTGAATAAAGCATGCCATTCCATAAATTAGGTGTATACCTTTGTGAATAAAACATACCATTCTATAAATTAGGTGTATACCTTTGTGAATAAAACATGGCATTCCATAAATCAGGTGTATACCTTTGTGAATAAAACATACCATTCCATAAATTAGGTGTACATTTGTCAATAAAACATACCATTCCATAAATTAGGTGTACCTTTGTGAATAAAACATACCATTCCATAAATTAGGTGTATATCTTTGTGAATAAAACATACCATTCCATAAATTAGGTGTACCTTTGTGAATAAAACATACCATTCCATAAATTCTTTGTGAATAAAACATACCATTCCATAAATTAGGTGTATCTTTTTGAATAAAACATACCATTCCATAAATCAGGTGTATACCTTTTTGAATAAAACATACCATTCCATAAATTAGGTGTTTACCTTTGTGAATAAAACATACCATTCCATAAATTAGGTGTATCTTTGTGAATAAAACATACCATTCCATAAATCAGGTGTATACCTTTGTGAATAAAACATACCATTCCATAAATCAGGTGTATACCTTTGTGAATAAAACATACCATTCCATAAATTAGGTGTATCTTTGTGAATAAAACATACCATTCCATAAATCAGGTGTATACCTTTGTGAATAAAACATACCATTCCATAAATCAGGTGTATACCTTTGTGAATAAAACATGGCATTCCATAAATTAGGTGTATACCTTTGTGAATAAAACATGGCATTCCATAAATTAGGTGTACCTTGTGAATAAAACATACCGTTCCATAAAGGGAGGGTCACTGGAAATTAAGTATACAATTCCTTTTACTGCGATAAACACCAATTTGGGACATTTAGAACTACCTACAAATCTTATAAATGTTCTATAATATAAAAACTAGAAGCTACAATATGCTCAGTATTAACAAAACTTCTAATTTACGAAAAAAAATCAAGAAAGTATTGTTATTGCTAAGTTGCTAACTTAATTTTGATTTACAAAAACATAGGAATAGACTTTTAATAGTTAAAATGTTTAGAGTGCGAACCAGAGTGAGCTGCTGATTAACGATTACCCACCATCCAATGAATCAAATACGATTAGTAATCAGGTAACCCCCACCCGGCCACACTGAAAACTTCGGCTCATTTGAAGTACCAGACCAACCTTTAGGCCATTAGAGAATGTTGTACGATATACATACAAACTATGGACGACAAAACGGTAAGATACACCTAGGGAGCGATCGTTTTTTTTTTTAAAAAGATCGAGTTTTAAAATTTTAAAAACGAATAAGTCGTTTTTTAGTTTTAGTTCGTCGTTTCGTTAACGTAGGTAGGTCGTTTTTAATTTTTGACGATCGTTAACGATTGTTAACGACGACCCTTCGTAACGACCTTTAAGACAAAATACATTTTTTGGTCGGAAAACCCTTAGATCAGAAAATCCTTTGGTAAGAAAATATTAAGGTTATGTCTCTCGATAAAAATATACATTTAAGACAACATTCATAAACTTCTCTTCCTGTAAAAAAAATCAAATTAATTGACATAAAACTCAGATTCATTAGCAAAAATGTTTTCAAAAAAGATCGCTTTAAAAAACGAAAAGCGAATTGAAAAAGATAGTTATTTTTTGATCATTTTGAAAACAATTAACAACCCTAATTACACCAAATAAATAATTTCCTTCTAGTAAGATGATAAAAAGATATGATTATTATTCCTGTTAAAGCAATTAGCAAAAATGCCCCTCCCCTCCTACACAGCTCTTGTCATGGTTATAATGGAAGGAAAGTTATTTCAGAGGTGTGCGCATCTTTTGTACTGCAGTGTACTCTCTCTGGGCGGTAATGTAAACACAAGTCGGATGTTGAAAGCCTGACATGGGATCCATCTTTCACATAAAAAAATCAATGAAATATTCTGGTCACTGGAAACTATTATGTGAATTGTAAATTTTTAAAATTATTAAATTTAATGCATTTAACCTCCTCGGATACAAAACGAACATTGATGCATCCATTCTTTTTTACAAATTCCGCCCAGAGAGAACTGGTTTCAATATGTACGCAGAGTATACGCAACTGCAATTAACTTTCCTTGTAATATAACCTTTGTGCTTGTATGTTATCCTAAACTGAACTTTTGTTGCGTACTGCAGTGATCTCCAGTATTCTGACCGTAGAAATAGTGGTATTAAGAGGAGAGTGATGTGCCATGTGTACATTGACATTTCGCTAGAAGTTCAAAACATTATTTAAAACAAGAATTAAATAAAACTATCTTTTTAAACATAAAATAAAATTCTCCGTTTTCGTGATTTAATATTCTGATTGGTACTTTTGTTTCAGTAATTTTTTTTGATCTTTAATTTGTTTGTTGATTTAGAAAAGACTATTGATCTATTCATATTTTTTACAAAAATCAATGAACGAGTAATTTTTAAGAATGGAACTTTAAAATGGATTTTTTTTCTAAAACTAAGCAAAAAATGACACGGATTTTAAAGATTTTTATTTGGATATTCAAAAATTTTAAAATCAAAATTTTTTCTTAGACAAAACATTTAATTTTGCCTGTCTATATGTGAGTTGACACAAAAAAATTAGGCCCAGTCGATTCACCAGTTTTGACTTTTGACATACAAACAAACAAAGAGACAAACCGACAAACAAGACAAATATATATTGTTTGTTCACAAATTCTTGGAAAAGGTTTCCTACTTTAATATTAACGCTTTTGTAAACATTGTGAATAGTAAAATAAATGGAAGTTTAAAATACTAAATCTTTGTTTAAGTATCTATAAACAAGCTATAGCTCCAGAAGCAACAAATGGGCTTATTTGAATTGTTATATTATTAAATAAAATTTGCTTTGGAAGAAAGAGTAATTTCGGCTGCTTGTTTAAAAGTTAAGAAGTTATAATTGTATTAATATAAATGATTATAAGTAGGGCCTGAAATATGTGTCACTGCATTTTTGTATTCCTAAATTGTTATGCGTATTCAATCAACGGTATTAATGACTACTATGCCAAACTGAAGAAAGAATATAAATGATGACAATGTATAAAAGAACTAGAAATACAGTACAAAACGGAGGGTGATAAAGCTATATTCTTTATACAACATGCAGGAAAAACACACAGGGTTGTCGTCTTCATATTTCACAGTTAAGCTTGGAAACCCAGCTTTGCCAAGGAATCCAAATGTTCAAACCAATCTAAAAACATTCCCTTAGTTCTACCGAGTTTATCAATTCAAATTTGACACAAATCGGTCAAGGTTGAAAAGGGGTACATGAGTTAGGCTTGGAAACAAACAAACAAACAAACAGACAAAAAGATTATCAGAGAGTTCTACGACTTATAAATATATACATACTGTACAAGAAAATATGGATTTTCATTACCCAAAAAAATATTTTTAGTATTTTGTGGAAGGAGTGCTAACTATGGGTATTGGTGTGATCGGACTAATCCTCAACACATATTCTATTCTATTCTTTGTTAGACAAAGAACTCAGAGAACATTCCACAGGTTTAGTTTTTTCAGGAAAATCTTTATTTTTCTTAAAAGCTCCATAAAAAATAATTGGATTTTAGCTAATCTTAATAATACTGAAACATAAATCCAATAATTTAAATAAAACATTTAACCATCTCACCCTTTTGTATCTATAATTTTTCGATAACACTTCAATACAAAAGAAATTGAGTCTTTGCCACAAAATCTGCTTTTCTAAACCCTATATCTTTGGATTCCAATGTCGTAGATCTTAGATATTTCAAACTATGAATTCTGTTAGATCAAATAATATAAGTTTGAAATATCAAAGATTTACGACATTGGGCTCCAAAGATATATAGGGATTATAACTTCAGAGTTTGTGGCAAAGACTCAATTCCTTTCTATACTAAATGTAGTTTTATTTTTGGTGCTAATAAAATGATATTGTTAGCTATGAATATTCATACTATCAGCAATTAAACTGATATCTGTTTAGACTGCTAGTTTTGTTGGCTATGACTGATTCTATTCATATAATCAGCAGTTTAATTTCTTTCTCCCTTCCTACTCTTAGTTCAGGTAATGTTCTTAACATGGCGTTAAAACATATTTAGGGCGAAATGGCTAGTTTCCGTGAAATCATATCACTCCGTCCTGGTGAGATATTGAGTTTTTTTAAAGACACACCCTGTACAGCTGGATACACCTATTAAATGCCTAGTAACTTTTATTCTGTTAAAGTTATTCCATTTAAAAGGTGTCTGCAGCTGTACAGGGTGTGTCTTAAAAAAACCTGAATATCTCACTAGGACGGAGTGATATTATTTGACGGAAACTTGTTTCCTATCACCCTTCATGCATGAGAACCAGGAACAAGTTGATTTTGCTCCGCAATACCAAAATTAATTTCTTTCCTCTTTAAGAACATTGTGAGTCACAATATTTTAAAAATCAATGAATTTTAACAGGTTTTCCTTGAAGAAAACTGATTTTCCAGTTAATAATAAAACCGTTTGCTTTGCAATGGCATCAAATACACGTAAGATTGGTTAAATATCGTCTTCGTATTCCACAGTTTTAAGTGTCCCAGTGTATATAATTGATCCTGCTCGTTGAAGCTCAGATTTTTCATTTTATTTTAGAATTCTTTCTTCGTGGTCATAAATATACTCTTCCATACTCTCTTCCTTTAGCTCAGGTAGAGGATAATGATAATAACAATAATAATAACAATAATAATGATAATAATAATAATAATATTGAACTAGTATTGTATTAGAATATTTATCATTCTAAATAAGTCTTCACATGCGTGGTCAAGGAATACTGTTTTTATTGTCTTGAAAAAACTATATATCAAATTTGTTTGCCTTTTGTAACCTATGGATTGGCAAGGTGAGTTGATGACCTAAAAATTGTCATGCAGCTAGCTATAAATTTCTATACAGCTAGCTTTATGTTTCTATGCAGCTAGCTATATATTTCTATACAGCTAGCTATATATTTCTATGCAGCTAGCTATATATTTCTATGCAGGTAGCTATATATTTCTATGCAGCTAGCTATATGTTTCTTTGCAGCTAGCTATATATTTCTATGCAGCTAGCTATATATTTCTATGCAGCTAGCTATATGTTTCTATGCAGCTAGCTATATATTTCTATGCAGCTAGCTATATATTTCTATGAGGTTAAAATGATTATTTGTTGTGTATATTATATCTAGATACATCATGAAAATATTTTTATAATATTTAACCAATACATCTTTTAAATGAAAGATTGTAAAGAAAAGAAAAAAACATATATCTACAAATATAACAATTTGCTATCTTTAAAAATTGTTAAAATCAATTTCTTTAAGCAGTTTTCCCCAAAATGCTCCAATAAAGAATCAGAGGTATTGGAATATTTAATGTTTAAAACCAGGGGACACAGGTTCTAATCATCTAAGCCATTCTTATGTTACACACATAAGACTGAGTTTTAAAAACTCCTCCTGTGTCCAAGGCAATTTTTAGTTGAATAAATTATTTCCAACATATCATGAAGCATAATGACAAATACAAATATAGATTTTTATAAAAATGAAACTGTAAGAACCATTAAATAAAAATTTTAAAAAACTGTACAAAAGTTTTTTTTTCAAATCTATCATAAATTTGAATCTTGGAAACGTTTTAGAAAAAAAACCTAATATTACTTTTTTCATAAATATTCGAATCACTTGCCATTTTTTCAAGCCAAACCAATTAAAAGGAACTGCAGAATTTTTTAATGAATTGTTTTGCTCATTTTACTTTTAAAAATGGAGAATTAAGGTGATTTTAACTTCCTGCGTTTCTAAAAACAATATCCCACATTTCTATTGTTAACCCTATTCCCGCTGGGGGGGGGGGTCATGCCAACATTCTATTCAATACCGTACTTATAGGCTGTTAAACCTTAGGTCTAACTAAATGATACATGGTGGGGGTTGAAAAATGTTTATTGGTAAAAACTTGTTACGGAATATATGGGAGCTTTATTACTGTGTAGTCAGTTTCTGTGGGGGGGTTTAGGGAGCTTCTCAACTGCTGGAATTGATGAGTCTTCAGAACAGGGAGCAGTCTGGAGCAGAACCGTAGAAGGCTGCTTCTGTAGGGAGCTGCTTGAACCCGGTGTAGATGAACCGTTAGAGCTGTCTGAAGCAGAAATGTAGAAGGCTGCTTCTGTAGGGAGCTGCTTGAAACTGCAGGCGTAGATGAACTTTCTGGTCCAGGACTTGGTCCGAAAATGATAACTCTATTCTGATTTTAGAATATTAATAAAATACCCTTTTGATGGTACAGAGTTGGTTTAGAACTCCGGAGCTGCTCAAGGATTAGCTACAACTGATGATATCATCTTTCCAAGGTTTCAACGTTAGGTTTAAGGCGTAGCCTTAACCTTGAGTCTATACTTAAAAATACACAGTGCTCACAGGATGTTCACAAAAAATACAAACATATAAAATACATTTTAACTATTCATAAAAGCACAAATATCAATTCTTAAAGGATCTGTTACATTCGTTTGTGAATTTTACAAAAAAGGAGTTTTAGTTTATGTAAACACCCAACAGAGTTCCCATATACAGAAGTAATTGATTTCAACCATGATCTGACATTCTTTGTTAAAAATACGCACTTTAAACTCCGTTACACTATATTTTATTCAATTGCAAAACAATAGACATTATATATAAATATTAATGTAAACTCTAATTGAGTGCCCATCCTATTTGTTTCAACAACATCAAATAACTTCTATGTAACTATCTTAACCCTATCTGGTCTGGAATATTATAATCACGCGACAAAATGTATTCATTTCCTACTTAATTTATGTTCAGATTTTAAGTTAAAAAGGCGCTTGTCTGAAAGTTTTTTCCTACTTGGCTTAAATTAAAAAGACCCTTGGCCATAGTTAAAGAATTTGAGCGGCGGTTTAAATTTAAGCCGTGGTTTAAATATGGTTGGTTCCACTTAAAATTGTATCAAATGTTTCAAGATTTAAGCCGGCGCTTAATTTAAACCGGGTTTTGGCGGATTTAAACCAAGGCTCAAACTCTTTAAATTCCATCTCAGGACACTCAATCAGTATCAGTTCAATAACGGTTTGGAACTTTCTTCCCCTGAATTTGGAAACGGCTGATTGTATTTAAATTAAAGAAAGTCATAAAATTGAGAAATTAAATGATAACTTAATAAAATAAACTTTAATAAAAGTACAGTTTGGTCCAATAAACGATTAGGATTACAAAATGACGAATTCTAAATATTCTATACGCAAAGTTATATGAAGTTATAAAAATATAGAAATATCAAACATTTTAATAAAACAATATTTCAGAAATATGGATTTCTCCTTTCTTTATAAAAAAACGGAAAAATCATAAATTTTTTTTATGTGTAATTCAAATCTGGATGAACTTTTTATAAAAAGACCATCATTTTTTTAACTCAACATTTTTTTAACTCAATTTTTAACCAAGGAATACAGAACATTCCCATAACAACCCATAACAACACATTTAATGCAAATCTGTCAAAGGATTCATGAATTATGATTGGAAAAAACAGAGATTACCACTTTATATACATATATATATGAATATACATGGTTTATATAGGTTCTCATTTTATTTTCGTTTCGAGTCCTGAGGGACAAATAAAAGGCTTAAAACTGACAGCAAATGCTTTTTATTTCAAATGCATATAGTTTTACCTTAAACAAAGATTTAATCTTGTTAAACCGAGCAACGATGAAATTAAAAAGGATAAAAACAGCGCATTGCAACTTTTTTCTTCTGCTATTTTTGACCTGAATATAGATTTCGATACTAATTGCGTATCCTTGAATTAAATATCAGGCATCCCCCCCCCCCTTAAAAAAATACAATTCCAAAAGTAGTCTAGGGTGGGGAATTGACTCCCTCCCCCTGTATACATTAATTGTGTTAGTACAAAAGTAAGTAATTTTTTTAAGTTTCACCAAATAGTCTTAATGTTTTTTTTTGGCAGTTAATGACTTGTATATGATCTGCAAGTCCTGGATATCCTCTAGAAATAAAACTCTTCAATCCACATTTAACATATTAGGCTATCAGGGAGCTTAGCGCCCATATTCTATTCAACTTTTAATTTTTGCACAATCTTTCTTCTTTTTCTCAGTTATAAAACAAAAATAAAAAATTTTGCGGAAATGCAATTTTTTTTTTTAATTTTGATGAAGAAAAGAAAATTTTGGATACAACTTTTTGTAATTCTGAGCATCCGGAAACCTTCCCTGGGGTAATGTGAGGTCCCGCAGAAAATTTGGGTCCTATCGGTTCAGTCGTTTTGACTTATTGGTTACAAACAAATAGACCAAGAGACAAGCAAAGTACATATGTACATATAAATTTGACAGATAAACAAGACGAGTTCAATATGTTTGTATATTTGTGTTGGATGGATTGATTGATTGATTAGTCTTATAATCAGTTTTCTGGCAGAGTTGAATTGACCAGGGAGTTGGCTACTACCGAGTTTTTAAAGGGACTCATTCATATTTTTTCATATTTTTATTCAACTACAAAGCACGAGATAATACAAATAAAAAATCACAATTTACTATGTAGTTTGGACCCGCCTAACCAGAGTAGGTTGTTTTAATTGGTTGGCCCACTATAAACGAATGAGAATTGCAGATAANAAGGTTTCCTTGTTTCTTTAGCTGTCTTATTTCATACATTAAGGAACTTCTTCTTGTCGTCATCTGGAAGTTTATGAACAGCTTGAATTCCTTGTTTCCTCCAGTCTTGATTCCAGACAAAAGTCGATTCCAGGCTGAAGTTGGGCCTCTTTGCCATATCTTAAGCAATACCGATCCATTTGGGAGCCTATGACAGGCCTGAATATCGCCTTCAGGTATCTCTACTTTGTATTTCTGTTTTACTAGCTCTATGCAATGAGCAGAAATGGAGCTGCTACCCAGCTGTTCATCACTTTTGATGATGGATGGACTGCCAGGTTTTGGTTTTTGACAGGAGAGGATGAGGTTTCCTTTTAATTGACGCTGTTTTGATTCATCTAGGTCGTCCTCACATTTTCTAAGCTGGTTTTTTATCTCCTTCTCTTCTTGCTTCTGTTGTTTGAGCTCTGATATCTCCTTGCTCAGTATAACCACAATTTCAACTAAATGGTTTAGAATTGTAAGCGTAATTTCAAATGACGCTCCATTCAAGGTGGCAATGCTCCATTCATAACGGTACCCTTGAAACCTTTATATAATCAATAATTTGGAATATAGGGTTTAAAGTGTTCAATCTGATAATTCCTAAATGTTTTCCTGCAGTAGAAATGCGGAATTGAAAAATAATCATCATTTGAAATTATAGACATTGATATCTAGTTTATTCTTGATTAGACCAATCTATTACAGACGCCCATTGTTTAAATTTAGCGCTGAAATAGAAAATATAATTATGACCAATTTTAACATAACATTTTTGATCTTGAATTATAACCAAGTGTTACAAATTGTGATGAGCAATACTTTTTTCTAGAATTGTTAAGGTTTTTGGTCCACACAAATACTTTAAACTTATGAAAGTTCCAACATTAAAAAAATGTTATTCTTTAATAGCTTTTTTATGAAACCATTCAAAATGTATATCATTAGAGTAATTACACGGGGAAAAGATCCAAAAAATAATCCTGTTTGTTTGGCTAATATATTTTAATTTCTTAGTTTAGGGAAAGTAAATGAAATATTGTCAAATCTTCTCAGATTTTTGGTAAACCTTTTAAAGACTTCTTAAAAGCATTTAATAGGAGACAAGTAATAATTGACAAGTTTTTAATACAGTTTCCTCATGTCCGCTAATTAGTGTCTAATTAGCTCTCGTCTATAGATTCTTTAGTATCTATTTGCAATTTTTTATTCGATTTCATTGGTTCAATTACTATACATACTTAAGTTCTATAAAATTTTAAACTTTAGAACGTTTAATAAATTTTATTGATTTAACATTTGTTTTATGAATGACAAATAATGATGTTTATATTTAATAGAAAAGATAAAATATACAGCAATACAATTTTATTTAAATGAATGAAAATTCTAAAAATAGAAAACAAAATGTTGGAATGAGAGAAGTATTTAAAAAAACATAAATTTTTCAATTGTTGTTGATTATAATTTCTGTTTACTGATGAACAAATATGAGAATTTCGTTTGTCAACACCAAGGAGCTAATGGAAGGAAAGTTATTTCAGAGTTGTACGCATTTTTTGCACTGCAGTGTACTGTCTTTGGGCGGAAAAGTAAACACAAGATGGATGTCACAGCCAGACATGGGAATCAATTTTCACAAAAATAATCTATGAAATATTCTGGTCATAGGAAGCTATTATGTGAATTATCACAATTATCAAAATTAAATGATTTTATCTTCCTCGGATACTAGACGAACACTGATGCATCTATTTTTGTTTACAAATACCGCCCAGAGAGAGAGAGAACCGCAATTAACTTTCCTTGCATTAGTACCTTGGTCAACACAATACCTAAACAAAGTAGTTTTATTTCGCACTAACTAAAATAATAAATAAAATTAGATTTATCAAGCTATAACTGGCAAAACAATAACAACATAAAATACACATAAAATACCTTAATTTTAACTTTATATTCCACAGTTTGATTGGGCTCCATTGCTAGAAATTCTAACAAGACTTTGAAAAAAAGATTGTATCTTTAAACTAAAAAGTCAGTTCTGCAATTTCGGGAATGCATTTGAGTGGAAAGGGTATGGTAATTATTTTCTCATAATAAAGACAAAAAACACTTATCTACTTTAATTTAAATTTATGTGAGAAAAAACAACAGTTTCTTCACAGTTTAGAGTTTTTATTTTTCGTAACAAAATTGTTTTAAAAGGAAGAGTAAGTTATAGTAGAGAGGGTAGAAGGAATATTTTTGAATTGTTAAGAAATTATTTTTGTTATTTTAATTGCAAGGAAGGTGTGTAGTTGTCTAACTATCTAGACACCTATGATTATGTCTATGCATCTAACTATCTATCTAGACAACTATGGTTATGTCTGTGTATATAACTATCTAGACAACTATGGTTATGTCTGTGTATCTAACTATCTATCTAGACAACTATGGCTATGTCTGTGTATCTAATTATCTAGACAACTGTGGTTATGTCTGTGTATCTAGCTATCTATCTAGACAACCATAGTTATGTCTGTTTATCTAACTTTCTAACTATCTAGATAACTGTGGCTATGTCTTTGTATCTAACTATCTAGACAACTGTGGTTATGTCTGTGTATCTAACTATCTAGACAACTGTGGTTATGTCTGTGTATCTAACTATTTATCTAGACAACTATGGTTATGTCTGTGTATCTAACTATCTATCTATCTAGACAGCTATGGTTATGTCTGTGTATCTAACTATCTAATTATCTAGACACCTATGGTTATGTCTGTGTATCTAACTATCTATCTATCTAGACAACTATGGTGATGTCTGTGTATCTAACTATCTAATTATCTAGACAACTATGGTGATGTCTGTTTATCTAACTATCTAATTATTTAGACAACTATCGTTATGTCTGTTTATCTAACTATCTAATTATCTAGACAACTATGGTGATGTCTGTGTATCTAACTATCTAATTATTTAGACAACTATGGTTATGTCTGTTTATCTAACTATCTAACTATCTAGACAACTATGGTTATGTCTGTGTATCTAACTATCTAATTATCTAGACAACTATGGTGATGTCTGTTTATCTAACTATCTAAATATCTAGACAACTATGGTGATGTCTGTTTATCTAATTATCTAATTATCTAGACAACTATGGTGATGTCTGTGTATCTAACTATCTAATTATCTAGACAACTATGGTGATGTCTGTTTATCTAATTATCTAATTATCTAGACAACTATGGTGATGTCTGTGTATCTAACTATCTAATTATCTAGACAACTATGGTGATGTCTGTTTATCTAACTATCTAAATATCTAGACAACTATGGTGATGTCTGTTTATCTAACTATCTAACTATCTAGACAACTATGGTGATGTCTGTTTATTTAACTATCTAATTATCTAGACAACTATGGTTATGTCTGTGTATCTAACTATCTCCCTGACCCTAGAACGATATATATCAATAGTATATCCTCTACTATCTATTACGAGCAGGTAACTAATTAATAAATTAAGTATTTTAGTTTTTGTCCCCGCCATATGGGGTCCAAATGGATAAATGACAATATTAGGCAGAAAAGCATTAAAGAGATTGTGGACACAATTTCAAGTGACCCTTCATATTTAGAGGAGTATTTTCAATTCAACGGGACCTTCACAAGCTTTGTATGATATTGTGTTTTAACTTTGAATTGTGGTTCCTCCAGAAAAGTTATTGCTACAGAAACAATGAAGAATCTTGTTGGAATTAAGCACATTTTAAGCTTGAAAAACGAGGATATCTTTAATATTTTCGATCAGATGAGCGTTTTAAAGTCTAACATTGTGAATCGGGTATGTCCTTCTTTAAATGGAGGGTCACTTGAATTTACAACAACATTTCCTTTAATAAGATCAGACTCATCTGTTGAAGATTTTACACAAAAAGATTTTTTTACAATTTTTGTCATATGAATTTCAACTATATCTAACAGTAATATTTCTTTAACTAAAACCTAATGTTGTAGACCTACCCGTACCTCTGTCTACTTGTCTGTTCCAAGTATTATATTCTCAATCCTCTTTACCTTACCAAACTACTTCATGCTGCACACAGAGGAGCGCAGGGAACTACCTCACTTATCATCCAAGTTCCAGGTCTCAAATAGATATATTAAAGGGACTGTTAAGGTAAAAAGAACTAGGAGCATGCCTAAAATTTCTAGACACCACTGGGTTATCGTAATTTTCAGATTCGTCCCGTATTTGCTGAATATCATATGTTTAAAATTTGATTCAATTGATACTATGTCACGTATATTAGAGCTTTCGTAGAACTCGGACACAGTTTTATTTAATTTCTCGAGACAGAGACATCGGATAGACCTATAATTGGTCGTTATCAACTCCTAAAACTAGGTTTTCGTCTATACCCCCTTTCATTTTACCTTAACAGTCCCTTTAAGTGGCAGGAGTTGGAAACTTTTGAATTCCAAAACAGTTTGATTTCAAACTCAACTATAAATTCATATTAAAAAGTGATGAAGGTCGCGGATTTCTATAAGAAATCTTTAACTTGCTTTAGGAAAAAAATACAAATTCAATTTCAGCTAATCTGCTAGATGCATGTGATAGCAGATGAATCAGCCATTCATAAATTTTAAACTTAAATTAAACCCAGGAATTTGCATGAGAAACATGAGAAATTGTTTACTTAAATAGTTAATTGCAATTTCATGCAAACTTGACTTATATCTTATTATCACGTCCAGAAAGTAAATTGCAAGTAATATTGTAATATAATATCATTTTAATTACAACTTCTTTAATTAAAGAGCTAGTTAGAAGAATAAAGATGTTCGGAATTTCTAATACTAACTAAAAAATTTGCCTATCTTATTCTTGGGCATAAATGTGATGTCTCGTAAGATTTACCTTCTCTGGCTCTCTCCCTCTTTTTGTGAACAATGAAGGGTTACTGGTACGTGTATACTTTAGAGTGGAATAAAAAATATTTAAACCATGAAACAGGAAAAATATTTATTAACGCAAAAAGTTTGCCCCAGAAAAAAAAACAAGAGCACAAATTATTTGAATATTAATTATTTAGTTACCCAAAGAGAATCAAGAACTTGAGTTCCGGTGGGCTAACTTTAGATCAAATGAAGCATATATCACGGTAATCTATATAATAAAGATCTTTGCTCATATATATTTGTCTACATGTCAGCTATGGCCGACCAAATAGCTCGACCATGAGTACCCTGGGGGTAACATAGGCTAATAAACATTTTAATATTATTTGTCAAAATTCGGAATTTTTTGTTTCAAAATTCAGATTTTTTTTGTTTTAAAATTCGGAATTTTTTCGTCTCAAATTTCGGAATTTTTCTTTTCAAAATTCAAATTTTTAAATGTTTCTAAAATTCCACGGGCAACGCCAGGCACTTGAGCTAGTTTTATATTAAAGGCCAGGTGTATACAATGAAACTTTAAATCCAATGAAGCATTTATCATGGTAATTTTATATTAAAATCCTAATGGAACAATGTAGCATGCTTTTAGCGGGGAAATATAAAGGATGCAAATTGCAAGGTTATTGATTTCAAATGTTGAAAAGATGTAAAAAGGGATATTACGCGGTACGCCTAATTTCAAGTGATAGCAGTGCCCGATTCACAAAGGTACACTTGACACATTTATCTGAAACAAGTGAAAGATATTTTCGTTTTTCTAGATTAAAAGAGTCTAGTTTTGATAATTCCTATATGTTTTTTTTCTGCAGTAGTAATCGCAAGTCAGTTTTCTAGTGAAACCACAATTAAAAATAATCAGTTCTCTAATTTGTAAACATTGATATCTTGAATCGGGCGTTCGCATCTTTGCCTGAGGGTCACTTGCTGACAGTGTTCATGTCACTTTAAAGCTAAAGAAAAAGATTCATACTTTTGGTCTATATTTTTTCAGAAACTATCCAGAAAAATCATAATATTTTTCTGTTTTTGTGGCAAAACCAGAAAATAATATTTTTTATATGCGTATTACATAATACATGGTTAAGAATAAATATTATTTTAATATGATAAGAAAACATAACTGCAAAACATTTCCAATTTTCTTTCTACTTTCAGACTTATTCGCCTAATATGTCTACCATTATATACCATAAGAAGTTTAACTCTTGCAAAGAAATCTTTAGTTCATTTCATATTATTTTAAAATTATTAAAAAATTGGTAGAAATTTAATTAAGCTCTTTACTTAAGTTTACTTTTGGGGGACAAACATTTGTGTAGATTTGAATTTGAAAAAAAAACACCATGTACAAATCAAGTAAATAAATGCAGTGATATTTCTCAATGAAATTTGTTATGATAGTATCTAAAAAAATGTTTCACTTCCATTAATGATATCCGGTTTTGCTTACTGGATTTCAAACGGATATCCTGTCTAAAGTTTCCTGTTCAGAGCCCAAGATTTACAAGTTTCGGCTCAAGTCGTAATTCCTTAAACCCAGGTTTAAGGCCTCGATCTTAGACCCAACTTTGACGACAGCTTGTGTCACTTGATTGACAGCTGCAAGATATTCGGCTCGACTTACGAAGTTAGGCCCAATGAAAATATAACCGACATTGGTTGGTTTTAATGGAGAATAAGTCTCAATGTTGAGTCTTATTCTAATCAATCCCAAGAATCCGCCGATTTTAACCATAAAAATCCGCCAAATATACGCACAATCTTATTCCCGTAAATCAAACTCCGTGGAAAATTTAGTTGCAACTTAGATCCCTAAGCTTGAGCGTTAAATTAGCCTTTATGGCAGCTTAGATCTCAGTCTATATATCTCAAAATTGTAGTAATCGCGGACTAGAAAATGAGTATAGAAATGAGATCATGTAATGATCATGAATGTACATTTAAAGTGAGTCTGATAAAGCCCTAAATGGTTAAAATGATGAAGCCGGAAATTTGAATGGAAATGATGGGGAAACCGGAAACCCCACAATAAGGAATTCACTCTGATTAAGCTTTAAATCTCCAACACAATTAATTCTTTGTTCAAAAAAGCTACTGCAGATCAGAAAATATAAATTACCCCGCCTTGCATCTTATAGATAAGAAACGTGCTGTGTGACCGTGAAACTGTGAGTTACCGGGAATAATGGGCAAACAAGTTATTTACCATTAAGGGTGTTGGGCCGGACGTTTAATAGAAAGACATTTCATAGATGGACATTTCATAGATGGACATTTCATAGATGGACATTTCATAGATGGACATTTCATAGATGGACATTTCATAGATAACAAATTCATAGACAGAACATTTCATAGACAGAACATTTCATAGACAGAACATTTCATAGACAGAACATTTCATAGACAGGACATTTCATAGACAGGACATTTCATAGACAGAACATTTCATAGACAGAACATTTCATAGACAGAACATTTCATAGACAGAACATTTCATAGAAAGAGCAGATTTTTCATTGACAGGTAATTGTACAGACAGAGGAGAATTTTTTATAGATAGGCAATTGCATGAACAGAAAAGTATTTTTTTTTCAGAGAAAATTTAATATATTTAGGGTTAGCAGAAAACGTGTCGAATATCCTGGAAATCATAGTTTTCACTCTTATATGCTTTCCTCCCGCCCCCCCCCGTATACGCCTGTGAGTAAAATTTTTGTTTTAATAATGTTTTATGTAAGGTTTACGTACTGTGGCTTCACTTAATATTCATCAACATTCTACCCTTCTGTGTTCTACTTTGGTTAAACAGGATCATCTACAAGAAACTTTCAGAGGTGACATTTTTAAATTTTTAAACATGGATTAATGGTTAATCAACTTAAACAAAATAGAAAGCTGTAAAATATGTTTAAATCTGTTGGCAAACATTCAAAATTAAACTATATCCATCCAGTAAATTGTTCATTTAAAATTTCAAAATTTATTTCAATATTTTCATGAACCCCCCCCCCCCATTCATGCTAAAAAAAATGTTATATCAATTCACATTTTGGTAAAGAAAGCCGAGTTTTTGCCACAAACTCAAACCTTGATATTCCAAATTTGGACTTTTTGGTCCAACCAGACTTCATAGTTTTAAATTTCTTAGGTCTATCTGGTTGTTAAGAAAAGAAATAAGAGTTTGTGGCAAAAACTCATTAAAAAAATAAGTTTAAAATTTAAATGCATGAATCTTTACGAAACACTGATAAAGATTTAAAAAAGATGTTGAATAATTTATTTCACTTAACCTAAAACTTGACAAAAATATACGAACTTTATGGGTATTAATTAGATCTTTTCGTATAGATTTAAATAAATAATGTTATGTGTTTAAAAGTTCATAGAATATGAACAATTTATGTAAACTTGACAGGTTTTTGCTAGAATTTTCGAACAATGAAGTATTATAAAACTACATTAACAAAAAAATATATATTAAAACCCTTTTAGAGTTTTTAAGTATGAAAGTACAACCACAAGCTGAAATTTTCTTAAAACTCTTGTCACAATTTCCCCCCTATCAATCTTACAGAGCTAAACGTTCTTTGCATTTCACAAATAGTGCTCATCGGTTTATTCTTTTCTTTTATTTAACTTTCAAGGTTTTATTAATTTTGAATAATTTTTTATCCTTCCCCCCCTATGTTTTTTCCCTTAGAGTTGAGATAGGGGAGTGTGATACATGTCCGTAGTCAAACTTTTCAAGGCCTGCTCATGAAAACAATTAGACCTCTAACTATGATGGTTAGGGTACAAGAGAGGGTTTTATAAAGTTTTTAAAAAGTACGTTGGAAAAATGTTCAAAAAATAATTATTTTTACTTTTGACAAATATTAACAACTAGCCGAAGGGCCCGGCGTTGCCCCTGGAAAAAAAATTTGAAAAAGAAATTTTGAAGAAAAAAAAAATGTCCAAAAAAAAAATTCAGCCCAATCGGTCCAGCCGTTTCGCCAGCTACAGGCAACATACATATATAAGAATGTCTTGTTGTTTTATTATAAATAACCCTGCAGCTTAATTAATAAAAAAGTTATTAACCATCTCTGATTTTTTAAACACACACCCGCCTTTTGACTGTTCCCTTCCTTCCGGAGAAAGATGATCGGACATATGCAAAACAAACAGAACAGACGTACAGACAAACACTGAAAAATAGAGATTACTAATTTATATACAATATATATATATATATATATATATATATATATATATAAAGATATGTGCTACCTACATTTAACATTTAAAATATCCTCCGTATACTCTATTTATTTATTTGAAGTATCCAGAATATTTGATTAAACCACTTACCCTTTATTCAGAACAAATTAAAAAACATTCATTTAGAATTAATTAAAAGATTATAAAAAGTATTAATTGAATATATTTAACATATATGTATAACATTTATTCATTTTTTGTGTGTTAACAACGTGACACATGATATATAGGGATTAGAAAATCGGAGTTTGTGGTAAAAACTCAGTTCCTCTCACCACAACATTTATTTTATCTTGGAGGGGGTTGTAAGGGTAATCCTGAGAATATATATCCCTGATTATATACATAATTTAGGTAAATGTACCAATCCGAAGAACAGGTGAAAATATTCTGCGAAAACGTGAGGTTAGGATGGCTCGGGTTTCCATTCTCATCGTTATCATTTTTCTTCTCTGTCACACACTGAAAGTAAGTAATACATGTTTTATCAAATATACAGGGTGTCCCAATAAACATGGGAATTCAGTGACGAATTCGATATTGTCTTTATAGATAATTCTTTTATTTACAGGGTGTCCCAATAAACATGGGAATTCAGTGACGAATTCGATATTGCCTTTTTTAATAAGTTTTTGATTTAGTATAGTGATACCTACTGAGAAAGTTGTAATCTGTAAGAGTTTCGTCTGCTATGTTCACATTTTGTTTGTTTATGTTTTGACTGCATACGGTTGTACTTAGTATAGACACATCTTTACAGCCATTTACCGCTTTCATAAAATAAACTCTAGCAGACATAATAATATTATGATTTTTGAAATTAGGTATTACAATACTAATTCATAACAAAGAAGATATCGAATTCGTCACTGAATTCCCATGTTTATTGGGACACCCTGTAGTGTAATGATACCTATTGAGAAAGCTGTAATCTGTAAGATTTTTGTCTGCTATGTTTACAATTTGTTTGTTTATGTTTGGACTGCATACGGGTGTACTTAGTATAACAGCTAGACATTATAGACATATCTTTACAGCCACTTACAGTTTTCATAAAATAAACTCTAGCAGACATAATAATATTATGGCTATTGAAATTAGGTATTACAATGCTAATTCTTAACAAAGACGATATCGAATTCGTCACTGAATTCCCATGTTTTTTGGGACTTTAAGCGTAGTTTCAAGTACGGCTACATGGCAAAAATGGCAATGCCTGATTCACAACGTTGCCCTTAGAAGTTTTGTCTGATCAAGTATAAACTATAAATATTATTAATCAATGTTTACAATTTTGAATACTGATTATTTTCAACCGTGTTTCCTCTTCAAAATGAAATTGCGCATTTCTACTACAGGAAAACATTTAGGTTTTAACAGAATGAAATACTTTTAAACCCAGTAAAACGACAATATTGTCCACATTATTGGTTAAATAAAGGTTTCATGGGTACAGTTGTGAATCAGACATTACCAGCTTTGCATGAAGGGTCACGCGTACGGTCCCTTTAAAAGAACCTTTTCAGCCTGGGGAAGTAAACCCTCGGTATTTCAAACTTTTAATATTATATCTAGAGAATTCATAGTTTGTCATATCAAAGGTAGCTAAGTTACACTATTATCTATATATTTATAAAGTTGTAATCTCTGTTTGTCTATCTGTTAGTTTCTTTGTCCGATCATAACTCATGAACCCCTAGACCAATTTGCCTAAAATTTTTATAGAGGAACTCTGTCTGTAGGAACACGGGAATGTTCTTAGCTAGGTTTGAGATTCTAAAATGAGTGGGTCGAATTTTTCGGGAAAAATAGATAAATCGTAATTTACGACAATGCGCGGGTAAATGGTGGGACTAACTTTGACTACCCTGGGCAACGCTGGGTTCCCAAGCTAGTACCATCGTGGTGTGAGGGAAGATCTGTACCTTTGCGCTGCAATTAGAATCTAAGAACATTAAAAGATCTTTACTGTTTTGTTTTGAAATTGACAACTTGCGGTCGCAGCTTTCCTAAAAAAGCAAATCTTGAATTAATATCTGCAGCAAAGATGAGCAAGAAAATGGTAGACAATTTCCCTTTTTAAAATGGAAAAAGTAACAAAATAAATATTTCAGTTTGTTCCGAGTGTTTGCGAAATAATTTCTGGAAACCCAGGTAAGCATTATTTTCAATTAAAAAAATATATTTCTCCCTAAATTAAAATTTTTGATTTCCCAAAAAATAAGTTGTTCACTATTTTATCGTCTCCTGAAATCTAATTTTCTAATCCCTTTATCTTTCTTACCCAATGTCGTAGACCTTAGACCAAATAATCAGAGGTTTACATCATCAGGTTGCAAAGATACAAGGATTAGAAAGATTGAGTTTGTGGCAAAAAACTCAATGTCTTTGCTATCCACATTTTGCAACCTGATGTGGTAGACCTTGCATATTTCAAACAACAAATTCTGTAAGATTAAGTTTAAAATATCAAAGGTTTACACCGCATCGGATTGAAAAGGATATAAATAGTAAAATTAGAGTTTGTGCGAGTATTCCGCGCACCTCTGACCCTTCATTAAAGGTAAATTCAACCTAAAGTCTGACCGCATCAACCTTGTTGCAACGGCCAGTCCTATTAAGTGTCTGCTTCATTTACCCAATGTCCGGGAGATATACAGTACAAAATGGGACCGGAAAAGTGGACCCAGCTCGGAAATTAAAATGTACTACGGCTGCCCGTGATTCAGTCCGCTTACCATATAATGATAATTTTTAGTTAGGTAGAAAAGTTCCAAAAACTAAACAAAACAAATTTCCTAATAATTATCAGAGAATTTTTAATCAAACGGTTCTTTTAGATCAATCTAATTTACATAGCAAAGTTTTAATGATATTTTTAAAATCGTGCTCTCGAGGGGGAATTTTAAATATTCACATGCTAGTCCTAGAGGTTTATAAACATATAGTCTTCTTTCAGAAGTTCATATCTCAGGTGAACACTAAACACAGTTCGAAATTTAAAAAAATGTAATTAATGAATTTAGAATATATTCCCCACGTGGTGGAGTTAGCGCATCTTCTCATCATTGTCAACTGCAGGTTTATTTTCATAACGTTTCTAGATTGTCTTACATATATTTATAACCTTTTTAAAATGAAAATTGAAAATAAAAAAAATAAAAAATATCGGTTTTTTCCCTAGTCACGTTAAACTAAAGTAAATTGTACGACGTTTTCAATCATAACTCCTTTATTGAAATTTGAGAGAAGCAAAAAAGTCACCGGATATAAGAATTGAGTCTTTGTCACAAATACTAATTTTCTTATTCCTTAATCTTCGCAACATAACCTCGTAGAACTTAGATTTTTTAATTGTGAATTCTATGATTACATAATCTAAATTTGAAATATCAACGGTTTCCATAATCGGGTTGTAAAAGTAAAGGGATTAGAAAATTTGTATTTGTTCCAAAGAAGACTCAATTCCTTTGCTTTTCTCATTATTTCTCAAAACCAGAAGAGCTACAGTGAATCCCAGATATATGAATACATAGCAAGAGTTCTATACAATGTCGTATTCTCAACATATATATAAGATCAAATGCCGCGGAAAAACGAGTTATTATATCAATTGCTGTCCTTTCTATTTCAGGACTATTAATTTACCTTGAATTAAAAATAAAAATATAAGTGAGATTGACTGCATAAGGTCACAAATTCCCTATTTTCATATATTAGTATTAAACAAATTAGTAAGCAATACGCAAACGAATTTCTGACAAGTGATTAAAATGTATCCTCCCTTGCCATAAATAGTCTATTTATTCTATATTTTTATTAATTTTAGTGTAAATTTTCTGATTTATGCCTGCTCCAGTGGAAACAGTATCTTTGACATATTTACTCTAAGGTAAAGTTTTTTTTTTATTAATTTGTACATCTTTTTTGGAGTGTCACTTGAAAGTACGTCTAAAATCTCTTTAATTTGTCTCTATTCTAAACATTTTGACTGCTCGATAGCTTTCAGGTTGTCAATTTTAATCAATTTTTATTTTACAGTTTTAAATAGATTATTGAACTCAAATCTACAAGTTTTTTAGCCTTTGATTTCATATTTAAGTTTAAAAATCTTTTGTATATATTTATCATTTAAGAATAAGAATTGTTATTAATGGTATGAGCTAATTCTTTATTAAATTAACACGTTTATATATGTTTTCTCACATTGCTATTAGTTTTAATAAACAGGGTTACCCAGAAAGGATGAGACTTCAGAGACGATTGTACAAAATGTATATGGTTTGTTTCCTTATATTCAAGTTCCCTAAAGTTGTAAACTTGTTTCTTTCTTTGCCAAATCATCATATAAGCTATTAGATTACTATATTTAAGGCCGAATATTTGATTTAACCTTGGGGTCGTCATATTTTAAGAGTTTTCGGTCGTCTTTACAGTCTCATCCATTGTGGGTAACCCTGTATTATGTACGAAGCCAATAAACATAAGACTAAAGTTAATATTGTTGATTATTATCATGATTTTTTGTTGAAGGCATCCAATATTAAGCTCTAAAATGTTCAAAGTGGGTTTAAACTTTTAGGGTTTTATTCAAGCTAAGATACACTAGATGGAAAAAAATTTATGTAGCAATAAAAATTGCAATTTATTTTTAATATAAAAATCCAATTTTTTGTTCTCACTCTTACATGGAACAAGTTTACTATATATTCATCATTTGCCTAAAGCAAAATTACATCTAACAATATAAAAGTTTACAGTTTAATATTAATACTCTTTTCTCTGCATATCGCATTTTATGATTGACAGGGTTTGCCAAATTGCCATACAAGACTTTTATCTTAAGTATAGTTTAGTTATTTAAAGGTGGTTTTCAGAAATGGAGTTTCTTGGTCCCAGTCTAGCCTATTTCGTTTTCTAAAAATGTTGTATGATGACAGCACTGCAAGGCTTGATAGATTTTCGCACATTGCTTTGAAACTGGGTTTGCAGAACTTATGCAGTTTCTTTAGATTTGCTTTATTTGATGGCGAGATATATCCTCTTGAGCCGATTTCAAAAGGATGAACAGACACATCCCTTGTTGTTATATCTGTGATAAAATTTTCATACTTGTTCATCTTTTGAGTGTTGACATTTTTTATATTCGTTTCCAACGGGACAGTAAGCTCAAAAATATCCATCTTTTCCTCCATTCTATCGATAATTACTAGATCTGGTTTCTGTGCGGACACAATTGGAAGTTGGGGGGAACAGCACCTCCTTCTTGAAGGATATGGGACGGGATGTCGGTATACATCAAAAATCGGTCGATATCAATTAAATCAGTGATATATTTAATAAGATTGTTGTGCCTCCAAGTATATCTTTTTTGGTGTAGTGCAACCTTGCAGCCATTCGAAATATGGTTTGTAGTTTCTTGTCTTCTATACCTTGCAATTTAGCGCCTGCCTGTAAACATAGTTTACAGAGATCTGATGCAGATTTTCCCCATTGTAGAAGGTTACTTTTTGTTGGCAGGGTGTCCAAACAGGAATTGAGTAGAAATTTCAGTGTACCTTTCTTTAGATTGAACATGTAAGATTTCCAGATCATATAAGATTTTTCAAGATGTTTCTGTATGTTCTCTCCAGAAAGTTTCATTTTCAAAAGATATTTTTTCACTGACAGTTGTTATCATTTTTTTTGGAGTATTGATGCTAGGAAGCTTGGTCATCCCATTCAGGCATTTCTGAATAAGAAGTGCATTTATATTTTTCAGTTTTGTTTCAAATTCGCTCTTGATGTAATCAAATCCTTACTAAGTTTACTCATAGGAATAATAAGTGTGCCAAGGAATTTCTGCTCTTTTTGAAATATATTTGGAATTTCAGTTTCACCAATAGTAAAGTTTATTCTGCAAGGTATACCTGATCTGATGGAAAATGATCTACATTTGCTGGTTTTAATCTCATTCCCATACTTTCAATCTTGGATTTTATTTATTTTAAATTTTTTTGATGTTTTCTCAGATCTGTTGTTATCAGGCAAAAATCGTCAGCATAGGGCAGAGTAATAATTTTCTCTCCATTCAGATTAAATCCACAATCATTCTTACTCTGTAGAAATTCAATCATTGAATTGAAAACCATCAGAAATATGATGGGACTAAGCGGGTCACCTTGAAATACTCCTCTTTTAAAAGGAAACCCATCAGTAAAGAAATTTTCTTATTCATATTTTTTTATACACATATTGAGTATCATATATATGTATCCGTGTCTGAAGAAATATATAGCTTATTTTTGATCTCTTATCCTAATGTATTCATAATATTTCTTGAAGAACAATCTTTTATATCATTGAGCCTAAAACTTTTTGTATTTCTGACTGATTAAATTGACTCTATTTTCTCCGCCAACTGTTCTCCAACCGCCTCCACCACTTCACTCCGCCATTGTTTGAATCTAATTATAAACTGGACCCGGGGAGCTATTGTGTAAACAGTCTGAGCTATCTTGAAGCTCCCCGGCCACATTTACAATTGTATCACTTAATTAATATATATGTATGTTAACTTGTGGCCTAATAACTGATTTGATTTGATTTGATTATTTAAAATTTTATTTTTTTATTAGCCTAATATTTGAATAACCTGGAATTAGATAAATAATTAAATTACTTTTCCTTTTAATCCTATTTATTCTAGGAGACAAAGAAACACATCCTCTCCGCTAATGAGATCCAACATTGCGGTAAAGAAAAATATTTATTATTCTTTACTTTATGCACACACACAGTACAGCATGCGCATTGCAAATTATCACGTTTCTACGGATCATCCAAGAAAATTTCAGATGGCATACTTTTTTGAGACTGTTGGCCGGGGGAGACATTGCTCGATTATNATCCAACTTCATCGAGAAGTTAGGTATGTTTGCGCGGATGCAAAAATATGAGGGTTTGGTTTAATTTGCTGAATTGTGGAAAATAAATGAAAAGTATGAATAAAGTTATCTTTCAAAATTTTTCCAAACCAGATTATTAAAAATACATACCCCTGCATAATGTAATGAATAGCGATTGAACTATATTTAATGAATATGGGGTAGTAAATGAACTGAGTACAAATGTTAAAACCACTTCTCTTCTGCGCCGGTAAAAGTTAAAGTGGGCCAACTTTGTCTACGCAGTATAACCCTACAAGATGTTTTTTAAATGTCAGTTTTTAAACGCTAAATACTTTACCATGTTAAAAGATATTTAAATTCACTAAAATGCTAATGAAAGATGAGATTGACACTTTTGATAACTTATTGAAACATAAGTACAAGATTTTTTCAATTATTATTCGAAATGCCCGCCATCTTCTTGGTAGCAAATTTTTACCTGTCTTTGAAATTGTCAGCGACACAAAGCAGGGTATCTCTTGGATTCAGGAATGCATATTTCTCAACAATCATCTTCAGCTTAGGGATTGTTTTAGATTTTCTCTGATTGACTCCGGCCTCTGTCAAAAATGTATGTTTTGATTTAAATAAATTTGCAGATATCTCTTACTATATTTTGCGGATTTTAATAATAAATTATCAAAAGTGCCAATCTGATCTTTCATTAGCTTTTCAGAAGAAAACTTAAAACTCTTAAAAAATGTTATTAGCATTTGAAAGTTAACATTTAAAAAACATCCTGTGCAATTACTATTCGTTAAATCTAGTCCTATATCATGAAGATATTTTAGTAAAGAGTATAATATGAGTAATCAGTTCCTTTCATGTTAAATTTGATCTTTTTTCAGCTTCAAGTGATTCCTCGGCCCCCCTCGGACCTTGCCTTCAGAGCAGCAGGAGATCCCTTAGGCTAGAGACCAGCATGTCAGTCAGTGTTTAATTATTCAAGGTGTTTAGAGATAGCTCTATAAAACCTGTGACGTACGTGAATGTAAAAAAAAGTTCAGTTTGCTGTAATTTCATTAAGAAAATTTTGAACTAACTATTCATTAAAACTTTTTGAACAATCATTTAGGTTTATGCATTTACATTGTAATTCAAGCAATCTTTAAACTAGATTTTTAAACTTATTTTTATTTGGATCCTCTCTTGACAGTGATAAAGATCAAATTTCATTAATAAAATTTTTTTGTAAACAATTTAAAACCTTTTTCTAAGGAAGCTCTCCGACTGATGGGCATCGATTTGAGGCGGGTTTTCAAACATTCAAAGTTTTTAGGCTTTTTAAAGGCTTTACAAGTATCCGAGATGCAAATTCTATTTTAAAATGGCATTGTAGACAAGTTTTTTTTACACAAAGCAAAAATTTACACTAATCAAAGATATTGCCCAAAATGATTTTTCAAAACGGAAACGGAAACGGAAAACGATTTTCAACCGTTTAATCAGAGGAAATATTTTGCTTTGTACAATAAAACCAAACTTGTCTATCATGCAATTTTGAAATAGGATGTGCAATGTGAAGCCTTTAAAAAGCCTAAAAAATGTGAATGCCTCAAATCGACGCCCTTCTGTAGTTCTACCAAGCACTTACATAGAAATAGGAGGAAAATACTTTGGATTAGTAAATACATTGTGAAAGGAGGTTTAAGCTTAAATGTGATGTTACAGTATTAAAGATAGACTGATTTTTGAAAAAATATTTCATAAGAAATCGTTCGAACAAAGTCATTTTTTTGAATAAAAAAGCTTTATATTTTAGTTTAATATTTAACTAAATGTCTCCATTCTGATTTTTTGATAAATTATTTTTTGCTTTGTATATACAGGGTGTCCCACGAAACATGATAGTTGGTGAATAGTTTTGAATGTCTTCTTCCATATGCGGTATTAGATATTAAAGACTTTTTGCAGTATATTTAGTTTTAAAAATATATTTAACTTAGAAATTAATTTTACTGTAATATGGATGCCATAAAATATTCATTATTATTCTCTTTGGCAACAAACAACTTGATATATTATGGAAGAAGACTTTTAAACTATTCACCAACTGTCATGTTACGTGGGACAACCTGTATGCAAACTGTATGTACACTGTAAAACAGACAAGAAATGAAAAGTCGGAAAACTCACTTCTAATTATCCTAATTATCCATCTTAGAATACAAATATTCAGCTAGCATCTTAGAATACACAATATTAAGATTCGAATAGTATCTCAAAATACACAATATTAAGTCTCTGCTAACATCAGAGTATACACAATATTAAGATTCTAATAGCATCACAGAATACACAATATTAAGACTCTGCTAACATATGAGCATACGCAATATTTTGACTCTGCTTACATCTGAGCATACGCAATATTATGACTCTGCTAACATCTAAGCATACACAATATTAAGACTCTGCTAACATCTGAGCATACACAATATTAAGACTCTGCTAACATCTGAGCATACACAACAATAAGACTCTGCTTGCATCTGAGCATACACAACAATAAGACTCTGCTTGCATCTGAGCATACACAACAATAAGACTCTGCTTGCATCTGAGCATACACAAAAATAAGACTCTGCTTGCATCTGAGCATACACAAAATAAGACTCTGCTTGCATCTGAGCATACACAACAATAAGACTCTGCTACCATCCAAGCATACACAATTATAAAACTCTGCTACCATCCAAGCATACACAATTAAAAAATTCTACTAGCATCTTAGAATACACAATATTAAGATTCTGATAGCATCTCAGAATACACAATATTAAGACTCTGCTAACATCAGATTATAAACAATATTAAGATTCGAATGGCATCTCAGAATACACAATGTTAAGACTCTGCTTGCATCTGAGCATACACAACGTTAAGACTCTGCTAACAACTGAGCATACACAACAATAAGACTCTGCTAACATCTGAGCATACACAACGTTAAGACTCTGCTAACATCTGAGCATACACAACGTTAAGACTCTGCTAACAACTGAGCATACACAACAATAAGACTCTGCTAACATCGGAGATTAATTTTAAATCCAATTTTCAAGTTTATGGCCAATTTTGAGAATCTTATTCCTATATTTCTACCTAAGATACTAATTAATTGCAACATTTTTAATCCTCATATCGTTGCTGTCGCACACCTTTGATATTTAAAATTAATGTTTGACATATTTAAGGTTAACACCTTCAGTTTGCAAAGATTAAAGACATTTTAGAAGATTACAGTTTGTGGCCAGTGTTTAATTACTTTGTTAAGTCTATGAAGGCGTAGTCTCTTATTTAAAAAATGTGAATTTGATCATTTCAACCATATCTTTATCAATGTCAGTATAAAAAAGAAAATATTTTTGCATCTAAATGAAAGATAATAGTTATTTTTTTGGTAAAAATAAATGTCTATGTGTATTATAACTTTTAATTATTTCTATTTAGATTACGATAACATTTGATATTAAGTTATCAGATCTTATATCAATAAGAAAATATATTGAGTGAGAAATTAATTCTAGAAAAAATAAATATTGTTCCGAGTCAGGAAAACTATATGTACGTGCTTCAGAGCTGAAAACTTTAGAATGGTGGATATCGAGATTAATGCGTGATCCTCTCTCTTTCTTAATATCGAGATTAACCTAATCTTGTTCTTGTATCCTGAAAAGTGTATAAAATTCAACCAATCAGAGTCGCGTATATGGAGCCGATAAATTTGAAATTTTCTATTTAAGATTATATACAGAAATGGGAGGAACGCTTTAATTTAGAAAAACCGGTTTTTTATTTTTCTCTACTATATCCAAGAAAAGACGCGTTAAGAAGAAAATCAAAAGTATGCCCATTGGATACTCAGATTAAGTAATCAGGATTAAGGATATCTCATTCTAAAGTTTTCAGGTCGTTCAGATAAATCTTTGACGTTTCAGAGTGATTCTTTTTGGTTCTTTTTAGAATATTAAGGTTTTTGAACTTTAAAAAGGTTCTATAAAAATTTGAGAAGTTTTACAATTTATAAAATAACTTATTTCTAGACGTTTGCTTTCCTTAAACGATACAAAATGTTAACCCTTGGAGAAATACGTGCGAATAAACAATTGAAAAAGATAGCTTTTAGGTTTTGTTTTTCTCACATATAATTAAAAATATTGTAAAGTTTAATAAAACTAAACGTTTACCTACAAAATATGGGTTTGAAATGTTGGATTTTTTTACAAATTTATGTTCATGCTTTAAAACTAAAGTCCTAAATTCTTTAAAGTTAAAAAAACTACTTTATCACTTGAATCACTAAACAGTAAACATAAAACTCTTCACAAATAAACTAATAAGCAAAGCATTTCAATTTCTTCCTTTGGTACCAGGATTGAAACAAAGGAATTGAATATTTTCAATGGTTGTATCTTTTGTGCAAACTCGAGGTTTAGCTAGACTTGGTTTAAAAAAAAAGAAAACCTAGATGGTTTTATCTCTACCAAGCCAGAGATTGTCAATTTTGTAAAAACTATTATATGTTTACATTTAAAATCTCGGAAATTATCTTTAAAGCACTTTAAAAATAAAAATATATAAATCAGAGTTGAGTTTTCAAAATTTTCATGTGTAAATCTGTCAGCTGTTTCATGGCTGTGTCAGACGCTGAACTCCAACCTTCGAGTGTGCGAGGTGGGGAAGACGCTTTATTAAAAGCATGGCTAAGTGGGGATGACATTTGTAGATCGAGATTGAATCCTAGCCCAGCCCAGAAAGTGTCATAACTTAACCTAACCCGTGGCCGCAGCGCTCGGACCCCTAGCCTGTGTCCTAGCCGCAGCTCTCAGCCCAGAAAGTGTCTTAACCTAACCTAACCCTAAATAAAAGAAAGTGTCATAACTTATCCTAACCCGTGGCCGCAGCGCTCAACCCCCTCGCCTGTCCTAGTCGCAGCGCTCGGCCCAGAACGTGTCTTGACCTAACCTAACCCTTTATAAATACTAATTTAATTGAAAATTGTTGAAAAAGTGGTCATGTACAAAAGTAAAATCTGCAGTGAAGTCTTCCAAACCTCGCACACTCGAAGGTTGGAGTTCAGCGTCTGCCATATAAAGAGACAGAGAATTTGAAAGAACTCTTTCATTGGTCGAATCAGAATCAAGCAGAAGCTAATCCAAAACTCGATCTTGTCAAAAGCTTGAGTTTAGGTTAGGTAGGGCTTTTATACTTTTAAAATCTCAGTTTTGGGTAAATCAATGAAAGTTCAAATTATGTTTATGTTGAATAAATTCTAAAGTGCTTAAACGTTCTCTGATAAATTTCAAGTACTTATAACATAAAGCTTTGATATAAATTGAAGGGCAGATTTGCAATTTCAAAGGAATTGAGTCTTTGTCACAAACTCTGATTTTCTAATCTGTATATCCGAGCAACCCAATATCTGTATATCTTATTTTTGTTTAGTTTTACGATGTACACAAAGAGGATTTCAATTTAAAGAGAGATAAAAATAAAATATTATCTTTCCAATAATTTCCATTAATTACATTTCTAATTGTAAAGTCATTACAAAATATCTAAGAACAAACTGTATTCATTAATTAGACTAACTTTCCTATATTTACAATAATAAAAAAGAGATGTACAATTGTACATCAAAAGAAAACAAAATGTTGTTGACATGAATAATAAGTTTATATAAGTATGTAAAAAAAGGAAATAATATAACTCAATTCGCAGTATAGTTTTATTTACAGGCTCGTCCTTAGGGATTGCATGGAGAATGATAAAATATATCAATACATCACATTTCCTCCTTTTCTCTTTATCTTAGAAGCTAGCATACACGGGTTTACAAACACAGGGAGCAGGGGCGTAAATAAGGATTGTGTAGGGGGGGGGGTACATTTTTTAAATGTGGCAAGCAAAGCGCGGCGAATTTTTTTTACCCCCAAATGAATTTTTANATTTGCATTTTCCACTCATTTCTGGCATTTACAAACTCTATCAAATTAAGGCTACCTGTAAAAAAACTGAATTTATTTAAAGTAAGATAAAAATAGTTTTAATCTAAGAGGAAAAAGATGTTACTATTTTAAATCTTTAGAAAAGCTACTCTGGAAAACTTTGAAAAAATATTGTCTTTGTTTACATTCTAATTTCAATTACTAAAATTTTTTTTTGTTTTCAATGTAGTATGTTAGATTATAAATCTTATATGGAAATGACATTATTTAGAAGTAAAAGGGTATATGCTTTATGGCCCATACCCTTTTTTTCTATTAAAAAACATCTAATTGTAATGACATTGACTTTTACTTTAGAATTTAGAATTATCTAGAATATGTTGACTTAAAATCTGAAATATCCGAAGTATCTGATTTAAATTATTTTTGTGCAGATTTTAAAGATATTTAATTTTAAAATCAACCTTTTTTAAAAAAAATTCTGGGGGGGGTAATTACCCCCAGGATTCTAGGTAAATAACCATATTTCATATTTCATTAATTTTAATCCGTTAATTACATGAATATTTATGCTATCTGCAGTGAAAACTTCATTTCCTTTAAATCATATTAGATTTCCCATCTAATGCAATCTGAGCTGAAAACTTTAGAATGATGGATATCAAGATTAATGCTTAAACTCAGCTGGTTTCACTATACCCGAGATTATTTTAATGCACATTCGATATCCAAGAAAGAAGTTTAAAATTCAACCAATCAGCATATCATGTTAAGATGTACTCTTTAACTTTTGAAAAACCGGTTTTTTTCTGGTGTTATAAATGTGTCATATCAATCGAACTAAACATTGATTATTAAATAAATGTAAGTTTTGGAATAATGTTTGTTAAGACAAAACTCCGGAATAAGAAGACCACTTTTTTACTGTCGTTTTTACTCAATAAATGCTTTAATAAGCCACTAGTAAAACTATTTGCTTTGTATACAACATCAAATACACTTAAATATTGCTATTCCGGAAGTTTATGGTTATCACTGTAGGTAAAGCTGATTTTTAAATTTAAAATTAATGTGCGTTAAATCGACTGCAGTAACTGATAGTTTTGTTCTTACTATAGTTCCCTTTCAGTAAAATTTATGAGCAATCAGATAAAGAAAACGACACTATTGAGTATTGATTAGGGACACTTTATTTGTCTACATTTAACGCAGATTTTACTAATCTAATTAGTGAACATTTATTTATATTAGACATTTTTGGGAGCCTTAATGGTTTACAGCATTTGAAAATTGATTATCAGCTAAATTAACTGCAATTTTATTTCCTCATTTCAGCTAAAAAAAGGTACCCCGAGGTTCGAGAGGTACAGAGCGTCCCATATCATATTAGATTATCTCCAATCTTTAACGCCAAAATACGCACATAATACTTAAAAAATCTAGCACTTTCTGCAAAAAGAAAATTCTGTTAGCCTTATTAAATTTTTCAAAATGATTCATTCTTCTTAAATTTTATGATTTGTCCCCCAAATCGTAATTTAGACCCATTGACGTGTTCTAATTTGATGTGGGACACCCTGTATATTGTGTGGTTTTTTTGCACCCTCCCCCTGACCTTTAAGAATTGCTCTAGTTTTCTTTTAAGTCTTTTTATCCTGTGTGAAGAATACTACTGGCCGGATCTCAATTCAAGGACTATAATATGTAATATTGAATCCAATTTGTTTAGCTTAAAACTTTTGTTTTATAATCTCGGAAGTCCTGTGCAGGATCAATAATTGTGTTGCATCCACTTCCATGGGTAGGGATGTTAACGTTTTCATTTTTTTTGAAAAACGATCGTTTCGTTATGAAAACGACGACGAAAAAATCGAAAACGGAACGATCGTTTTTAAAAACGATCGTTAATTTTTAAAAAAGTTCGTTTTTTAAAAATGATCGTTTTTTATGACCACTTTTCAACAATTTTCTATTAAATTAGTATTTATTTAGGCTTAGGTTAGTTTAATAAGACACTTTCTGGGCCCAGCGCTGCGGCTAGGATTCAATATCAATCTACAAATGACATCCCCCCCTTAATCATGCTTTTAATTAAGCGCGGCCGTGAAGTCTTCCCCACCTCGCACACTCGAATTGGTTGGAGTCCAGGGTTTGCTCTGCCGTGCCAGTGCTCTTGTTCTATCTGCGTCGGTACGTTATCTGTGATGAAACCGAACAGTAAAACTCGTGCATTGAGTACAACTGTACTCAATGCACGAAACATTTTTTATCGTACGCATTAATATTAGGAAGATAGATTGATAAAAATAATACTGGGAGCCGGTTGGAGGAATTTATCGCACAGCTGACTAATCAATATTTGGTCATGTGATCACTTCAGTCAGCTGACTTAGCTGCTTGTGTTGTGTATACGAACTTTAATCTACAACAAAAAATTTATTATCCTCATCTTTCTGAGATTTATCTATCTGAGATCCATCTAAGTTGTTGGTAATTTCCTAGAGAACGATTTTATGGACCCCGCCCCCCCCCTCCTATCAATTTTGTACATGGATCTTATATGTAACACTTGGATATATAGTTGACTTTGTGGCCGCAGCGCCCGGCCCCCTAGCCTGTCCTAGCCGCGGTTTCGGCCACCTAGCCTGTTAAAGCTGCAGTGCTCGGCCCAGAAATTGTCTGAACCTAACCTTCCTCTAAAATAATGCAAATTAAATATTTTAATAGTTTTGCTGAAAAATGAGTTGGGGCGGGGAGGCGGATCCCAAAATCGTTCTCTAGGACAGACCTAAGTTGTGAGAGAGATAAAGTAATGTAACAATTATTTCGTAATTTATACTTTTTCCGTGATATTTATATCCACAGCGCGGCGTTTACTATTTATGCGGATCAACGGATTGAACAGTGGAGTGTTGTCTGAGCAGTGCGCTAGATGTGAAACAATTAGTTTAAATATAGGTTTCAATATATCTATTGCGTCTGTCCTGTAGAACGATTTTTGCACCCCCCCCCCAGGCCCCCTCCCCCCCTCCTATCAATTTGGAACATGACCTTGATTTAAACTATTGTCCACTAAAAAAAATGTTTATTTTGTATTTTTCAGGGTTAGGTTAGGTTAGGACAATTTCTGGGTCGAGCGCTGCGGCAAGGACAGGCTAGGGGTCCGAGTTCTGTGGCCAGAACAGTCCTTTAATTTCAACAATTTTCAACAAAATTAGTATAGATTTAGGGACCTAGCGTCGCGGCTAAGACAGGCTAGGGGGCCGGGCGCTGCGGCCACATGACAAATCCTTGTATTAAATTACCAATCTATTTAAATTGTGCATATTATGTTATGGGGTTGGTATATTTTTAACAAAGGTTCGGGTTAGTCATAGTTAACGCCCCCCCCCCCCCCCCCCCCCTCCTATCAGTTTTGTCCAATTTTCAGCAAAATTATTATTATTTATTTTGTTTCATTTTATGGTTAGGCCGGGTTAAGACAATTTCTGGGCCGAAAGCTGCGGCTAGCACAGAATAGGGGGCCGAGCGCCGTTGCCAGGACAGGCTAACGGCTGGTCACATAACCAATTATATCCATGTGTTACCTATGAAATGCATGTTCAAAATTGATTTGGTGTCCAAAAATCGTAGAGTTTACTAGTAATTTTTAGTTTATTAGTAATTAGTGTAGCACTTGACCAGCTTTCTGGGAAATAATTGAATTAATGGGCTCCCATTTATGCATTTATGCTACCCTTAGTTCTTTCGATTGTTTTTTACTTATTTTGCGTCTGCAGAAATGCTTCCTATCAATATTGTGTCAACTTGTATCAAAAGGTATGTTAAAGAATGTAGCAAAAAGTAAATTTAAAGTAAGTGCTTGTATCTCACAATTAAGGATATCTCTGCGAGTTATGACCACCACGGGATATCGAAAAGAAATTAAATTAATCTTCAGGTCATTGCTTAAAATTCCAAAGCTTCACAGGTCAAAAGTTTTGGCTTGAGCTAACATGAGTCTCCTAGTTTTTTATATTTACACTTTTCTCAGAATTAAGAATGTTAGGGTCTCTGTTTCTGATTGGTTTAATGCTTGGACAAGGAATTGCTTCCAATGGATTTCTAGACATGGACACTATCAGAATTCAGAGGTATAGTATAGATAATTTTTAACTATCAGAATTCAGAGGTATAGTATAGATAATTTTTAACTATCAGAATTCAGAGGTATAATATAGATAATTTTTAACTATCAGGATTAAGAGGTATAATATAGATAATTTTTAACTATCTGATTTCAGAGGTATAATATAGATAATTTTTACCTATCAGAATTCAGAGGTATAATATAGATACTTTTTAACTACCAGAATTCAGAGGTATAATATAGATAATTAACTATCAGAATTCAGAGGTATAACAGAATTCAGAGGTATAATATAGATAATTAACTATCAGAATTCAGAGGTATAATATAGATAATTTTTAACTATCAGAATTCAGAGGTATAATATAGATAATTAACTATCAGAATTCAGAGGTATAATATAGATAATTTTTAACTAAAACTTAAAAAGGTGGTAGTATTTTCAATATTTTCAAGGGCAAAGAAACTTAACATTTTTTAAATTAACAACACTATTATTAAAAAATTATATTTTTATTTTAAAAATAGTTTTAAATTCGACAAACATTCAACACAAGTATTTAGATTTCAATCATTAAAGAATTTCCCCTTGAAATCGTTTATATATTTAAATATTAAGAAGAACTTTTAATAAACTGTCCTTCAACATAGTCCGTAAATCAATAAATCATGTTGTAATGATTATTGATACTTTATTGATTACAAATACTGACATAAATCTTCGGGTTTTCGAAATCAACCATTTACTCCCTCAGAGAAAGGGCGTGTACAAATGTCTCTTTCTCTTGGTCCTGGTACTTCATTTATAAATCCCATTAATTCTCTCTCTCTATATGTTTAGATATATATCGCAGAGTATGAATGAATTTGATTTATCAGCTTTTCTATTTATTGATCTAAATACATCTGTTAATGTTTATTCTTGTTGAATCAGTTTTCTACGGTATCGGAGAACTTGTGGTTCGTCTGTTCCAGTTCAGTGTATGCCTGAGCAGCTTCCTCAATATCCATATCTTGTTTAGCTTCTCCAGTTTCGTACCCATCTAGGCAGCTTCTCCAACTCGATATCTCGTTTAGCTGCTACAGTCCAGTATCTTTTACACTGCAATCTTAGCCACTATGGAGCTGTTCCTAGATGCTCTGCTATGTTAGTTGTTCATTACTGGAGCTGCTCCTAGAGTTCTAAGTCTGACTGGATCGTCTGTCTGTCTGTAAAAGATCAGCGTCTCCAGTCTCAGGTTTAGGCAGCATCTGATATCTGGAATATCCTAGTTCTCTTCTGTATCCTGGATATTCCAGTAGGGAGTTTAGACGGGCTGGTACGAGGGAAATTGGTCCAATTCTTGAAGCTGCAGGATATGAAACTCTCGATGAGATCTGCAGATGAGTATGGTGGAATCTCTCGATGAGATCTACAGATGAGTATGGTGGAATCTCTTGATGAGATCTACAGTCGAGCATGGTGAAATCTCTTGATGAGATCTACAGACGAGCATGGTGAAATGTCTTGATGGATATACAGACGAGTATGGTGAACCCGCGTGTTTGTCTCTTCTAAACCAGTTGGAGAGTAAAAAGCGTCCTTTGATATCTTGAGTGATGATGAGGGCTTCAAGGATATATCTTCTTGTATAACGAGTTGAAAGGAGGCCAGTGTCCTCCTTATAGTGGAGATTTCTGCCCTCAATCAAAAATTTTAAAATACTTATTTGACACCCCTGGCATGTAGTTTGTAGATATCATATACCTTAAATGAAAAGTAATATTTAAAGTAATAATTAAAGTGCTATTTAAAGGAAAATAACAACTACAAAAAGTGTACAGGCCAAAGAGCAACCACCTCCTTTAAGACGATTTCTCAGATATCCGGTTAAATTCTCAACAGTTTGGAAAATCAAAATGTACAATATTTCAATTCTATGTACAATATCAAGTACAATATCTTATATCTAATGTACATATCTGGAAACAATTTGTAATTCAATTATAAATAATCTATTTCAGGGACCTACTTCAAGAGAAAGTTGAAGAGAAAGTAGAGGAGAAAACAAGTATGCCTGACCAGAAGGTATAAATGTCTGCAAGTTTTATTGCAAAACAGAGCGTCCCATCTATATATAAATTTGGCTTGTTTGTCTGTCTGTTTGTTTGTCTGTTTGTTTGTTTGTATCCAATAAACGTCAAAACGGCTGAACCGATCGGGCCCAAATTTTTTGTGGGACATCTAGGGAGCCCAGGGAAGGTTTATGAATCATCAAAATTTCAAATATTTGTCTCTATCAAAATTCGATCGTCATTAAATTTTTTAAAATTTTGAAAATCCGCGAAATTTTTTGTAAAAATCCGCGAATTATTTTTGTTTAGTTTTACGATGTACACAAAGAGAACATGTTTACAATTAATTTAGAAGATGGGCGCGAAGCGCCCTCTAAGGCTAGAAAGAAGGGCGCGAAGCGCCTTGAATTTCTAGTATCAAATAATTGATTATCTCCAAGCATACCGCCAAAATACGCACATAAATAATATATATATATATATATAAATATATTCGCGCCCATCTTCTAAATTAATTGTGAACATGTTCTGTTTGTGTACATCGTAAAACAAATCAAAAATAATTCGCGGATTTTCACAAAAAATTTCGCGGATTTTCAAAATTTTTAAAAATTTAATGACGATTGAATTTTGATGGAGACAAATATTTGAAATTTTGATTTTTCATAAACCTTCCCTGGGGTCCCTAGATGTCCCACAAAAAATTTGGGCCCGATCGGTTCAGCCGTTTTGACGTTTATTGGATACAAACAGACAGACAAACAAACAAACAGACAAGCCAAATTTATATATAGATATAGTATTTTCAACTTTTTCAGTTTAAATATACATTTTAGATGTTTAAATACATATTTCTTCCAAGACAAAATATTCCATGGGTCTAACCCAATCATCAGTTGGAATAAAACTGATACTGGAGCATTTTTTACAATGATTTTACGGATTTTTGCAGAATATGAAAAAAATAAATATATATATAAATTTTCTACAAGAAAACTTTTATAGTAACCATATACATATATACATATACATATACATATACATTTTCATATACAATATACAGTACATATACATGTACATGTACATATACATGTACATATACATGTACATATACATGTACATATACATGTACATATACATATACATATACATATACATATGCATATACATATGCATATACATATACATATACATATACATATACATATACATATACATATTTTAATAAATTTTTGCTACTTCTAAATAATTAATCCATTTTTGAATTTTTATTTAATTTTCTCAATACAGCGCTGGATAGTCATAACACATTTTCAAACGATGTTAAGAGCATTTGAACGGGTTTCAATAAGAAAAATACCTCTGATTCATAAGGAACCATAAAAAAGATATATATTATTATATACAGCAAAACCAACCTTTCCGAAACAGCTCTTATCTGAGGGATAATAAAATTATGACAAAATACTATGTTTTCAGAATTGGCGGACTGAGCCTGCCAAGGGCCCAACCAGGTTAACTTTTTTTAAAAATAAGTTCCGCCGTTTGTGTACTTTCTTGCGCATTTTTCCTAAACATTTTTCGGAACTGTCGATAATCTTACAGTGCTGTTATTTGATGTTGTTATAAAGCAAGTCAGTGCTTAGGATCCATTTAATTTTGACCAGGCCATTTCTTGAAGATTTACTGAATTTTTTTTAACAAAAAATAATTTTCAAATTTTTTGTTTTATTTTTATCCTAAAACTTGATGAACCATTCAGAAATGATGAAATTTTTATAATCTTTTTTTTTCAAAAGTTTAGATTTGGGTTTTAAGAGTAAAAAAGATTTTGTGCAGTTTTTGGTTGATATTTTACCCCGTGGATCCGCATATTTCTGGTGATCCGGATCCAGGAAGCCAAAATCTTGCGGATCCAACGGCTCCGGATCCGGATCCTCAGCACAGAAGCAAGTAGTTTTATAATACCTTGGAAATCAACTCAAGTGATATGTTCAGTAAACTGCAAATGAGTAAATTATTTGTCAGGTTCTATTTTGAGAACGGAAAGCTGCCAAAGGTTTTGATGGAGGTGGAAGAGGGAATAGTTCTAACGGTGTTCAAGGTAAACTCATGTTAAGCTTATATTCTTTTTTCAAGATAAAACCGTCAATAGTTAAAATAGAATAATAATAAAATAAATATACATTTTAATAATTTGAATAAAATCTTTTAAGTTATAACTGAGATGCTGGAATTTAGTCTCAAATTTTAACATAAAAAAACTAACGAAGGCTAACAACTAGCCCAGATAAGGAATTTGGCGTGCTTTGTAAAAGAATTTTTTAACCTTGTGGAAACGGTACTATGGGAATATCTGAGAGACTGAAATTGGGTATTACACATTTAAGGAATGCTTTTTTTAGAAAAACGTTTAATTACTAATCAGAACCAAACCTGTTCAAATTTAAACCTTAAAATATGTTATCATTATTGTAAATCATATATAAGCAACGTAAAATAATGTCACCCTGTATTTTAGCAACACATAGTGTTAAATTTTAACCTTATCATGTTTTTAAAGAAAAAAAATATTTAAATAAATAAAAGATATTATACATTTTCTGAGTTCAGTCATTTTTATAATCCGTATTTATAAAAATAGTCAATTTCGTGTCAAACAAGGAATCATATTCAAATCATCAATACCAAACGTTTCAAAAAAGCATTACACATTTTGATGGGTCTTTAAATTTGATTATTTTTTTGATTGATGGGGATTGATTGATTGACTGGTTGATTGATTGATTGATCGATTGATTGACTGGTTGATTGATTGATTGATTGATTGATCGATTGATTGATTGATTTAGAGTGGAGAGGTGTGGGACAGGTTTCTGTTGAACGAGGAAGCTTCTGGAGGTATTACTGGGGGTAAACTCAACCCAGACTCGGACATTTTTCAGGTAGTCACGATCTTTGTAAGGCTTTTAATGTTAAATATTTAGATTATATTTTCTTGTTTACTCTTTTTTCTAAAGGTTTTTTACTTTTTGTTTGTTTAGCCAAACAATTTTACTTTGAAATGTTTTAGAAAAGAGGATGAAGGGGGGGGGGGCTAACTACGCAGGCGCAGATTTTATTATTTATTTAAAGGGAGTGACCGGCAATGTATGGTGGTTGAACTGAGAATGTAGTAGTGTGAAGAAATTTTTTATGATTCATTTGAGACATACATCTTTTTAATGCTTGTTAAAATTAAACCGATCTTAAGCACTGGTGTTTCCATGTCTGTTTCCTATTCAGATCTGTCTATAATTTCTTATAATTGTTATAAGGTTGACATCGACTGGAAGAAACAAACCTTCACTGGACTAAAGAATCCAGAGAACAAAGTTCAAGGATTACAGGTGGGGGTTCATATTTTTTGTCTCTTAGAAACTTTAAGCCATGGTGAAACTTTTTTAATAATCATAATGCTCACTTGAAAAATATATTTAATGATTTTTTTACAAATAATTTTATCCAATTGTCAATGTATTTACATTTTTATACAGTTAACCCTTGAATATTTAATTAGATTGAGATGACTTTTGATCAGAAGAAAGGAAACTATATAATGACAGATCTGAAAATTGTAAACCTGGCAGTTCAGGTATATAAACCCTATCATTGTTGTTAAGATCCGGAACCACTGATTCTAAACAATCAGATCCGGATTTTAAAAAATGTATATGTACACGGATCCGGTAGAATGTAAATCAAAATATACTTGAATAGTGCACGAGTAAACTTACTGTGATCATTTATTTGTTAATCAAGTTTCAGATTGGTTAATCAAAAGCCGGAAAGAATAAAAAATAATTTTTTAGTTCAAGAAATAAAAAAAATAAAAAATAAACTTTGGAGTTGGATTCGGATCCGGTTTTCTTCCTAACGAAGCCAGGATCCGCATCAAAATATAATGTATGTAGCAGATTGTACCTAAAACTTAAGTTCATGAGAGATATATATTATTCCTAATATTTATCTGGAAAACCACTAGAGACAATGACATACTCGCTAGAAAATGCCGAGATTTATCCCATTCGTACCTGAAAATTTAACAGTTCCTTTAGATTAATTGGCAATTCTTAAATTCAACATATTTTGTCCTTTTAAAGTTTTTCGTTTAAAAAGAATATATTTGTTCTCTGAAAGATAAACTATTTACCGGAAATTTATGATCTGATAAATAGATATTTATTTAACCCAGACATATCCTTTCACACATTATCCATCTGTAGAATTTATTGTATTTGAACTGGCGGGGGGGGGGGGGGGCACCTAAGGAGGGTTTGTTTACAATCTTTTTAATGGGACCAGCTTTCCCGCACTTTACCGCGACACTTATTTACAATCTTTGTTTTTGTTTACAATAAATCTAGTTCATCAGCTGTTTTTTTAGGCATGGATAAATATCATGAACCTTCAATCCTCTCTCCTTAGTCCTACCCTTATTTTATACAAAAAAATTAAATTTTCCCATCTTGTACCTAATATCTTCCATGCTCAGTTCCGTTAAATTATTTTTTAATATGGCAGTACTATGAAGTAATAATTGAACAACAAGTAAAAATTAGCGGTATAAATTTTAGCAAGTTTAAATAGTTTCCGGATTTTTTAAAAAGAAGACATTTCTGTACAATAAACACTACAACTCAAATTCGCCATTTTTGTTTCCGACGTATCTTTTTTTTGGACAAAGAAATAACGAAGTGCTATAAAGTTTTTGGAGTGCAATGTTTATCTGCATCTAGATAGGTTTTTGCCCCGTTTGAAACGTTTCCATCAAAAGAAAATATGTTTCCAAATACTTATACCACTGCAATCAACATAATGTTTAATAATTTTATATATCTTATTCAACTCTAAGGGATATTAAATCCTGAGCTTGATATACAAGTGACATGGGCAAAACATAAAGCGTCCTTTCTATGAATTTAAAGGGACTGTTAAAGTGTACACTGTAGTGTATACGTTATTTCAAGTGACATTACATTAAAAGAGAGTCGTGTCTGATTTATATCAGCACCGTTTAAACTTCGGCCTAAGCAAATATAATAAAAAATATTTAAAAATATCCTCGGTTTTTACAAAAGTTAGCAATTTTTATTTGTTGTATTTTTATCAAATTCGTCTTGCAAATTGTATGCAGTAAGGCAAAACGTAATTTAAATGAAAAAGTGGCGATTTTTCCCATTTTTGTTTAGACAAAGCATTAAAGGGTACTGCTGTGAATCATGCATGCCAACATGAAGGTTAACTTAAAATTACGTCCACAGTTCTTTTAATGAGCTGCCTGTATTAGGGTAAACTGGAGGATGTTCCAGTTCTAAGCACCCGGACTCAGCATGGATATGAAGTTGAAGCTCCTCTGGGACTCTCATTCGGTTGCTTTAATCCAGGTTAACAGCATATACGAACTACAGGGTTAAACACAAAGGACAAGATTGTAAAGACGACCTGAAACTTGTCAAATATGACTGTTTGAAATAAGTATTCTGGCGTAAATGCAGTCTGTGTAAGGCTTGTGTAAATGTGTATATAATGGCTGTTCATATTTCACGATTCTTTTAATTCACGATTTAAACGTCATTTTTTAGATCTAACGCCGCAACTGTCACTATATATAAGTTAATGATTGTATTCCATTTCCAACATGGTTTCAATTCATGTAGATATTGTATCAGTTCTCTATTACGTCAAGTTTTCAATGCAGGATAAAATTGGGATTTTCCCTGAATAGAGGAAAATAGATTATTTTAGATAAAAAGATAGAGGTGTTATTTTTCCTTCCAAATCGTCGAAGTTCATATTTCTTGAGGTCACAGTGCTAAGGATACATTTAATTTTGATGCGAATCTTGATCCTGATCCAGGTCTTGAAAATTTCTTTAATGCTTATTAATTTTTGATCAAAAGATGTATTTTTTAAAAAAAGTTATTTTTACTTTAAAAACCATTCAGCAAGTTAGAAATCAACAGTTAAGATTAGTGTGAAGGCAAAAAGTGTTTAGTTTTTTAACAATTCATGGTTGATATTTTTTCCCGTGGATCCGCATATTTTTGTGGATCCGTATCTAGGAAGTCAATGCTGTGGATTCAACTAATCTGGATCCGGATTCTTAGCACTGCTTGAGAATTAATTTTACACCCATGATTTGATGTTAAAAATTCATGTTTCGGTTGCAGGAATGTTTGGACCTAAAGGAAACCGAACTGAGGCCCGTGTTAGCGCTGGTTTAATGTTCCCTGGTCTTGAGCTTCAAGTTTACAAGGTTAGCTCGTAGTTTTTGAAAATATAAATGTCCTGGTCGCCATTTTGATTTAAAGATTGGCCATTTTAAATATTTTAACGTTATTTTGGTGGTTGACAATTGGTTTTCGCAGATTTAAATGTTATGTTGTCAATTATTATGTCTGAACCAATAATCAAATAATAAAGATAAATAAATATTAAAATCACTTCTTTATGGCCGAAACCACCAAAAAATCAAAAAAAATTGTCTTAACGAGTTTTTGTGTGAAGACCGATGAATAACTTGCAACTTTGATAGGTGCCTATTGTGCCTACTGCCTAAGCTTATATTGCAAAACAGGAAGTTCATTCGCTAGTTAAATATGACCAACAAAAAGGTGTCTAATCAGTAAATATACACTGAACATTGAATACTCAAGTGAAATAATGCTATACGAATTATATATTAGATACCATTAAATATAATCTAACCCCAGGTATCTGGAGGAAGGTTTGGTCCGCTTTGGGAATGTGGAAACTACATTCCAATAGGTAAGCAATAAGCATCAAATATTTAGAACAGTAAAAATTAATTAAAGATAATTTATAGCGCTAGAGTTGTGGACAACGCCCCCCCCCCCCTCAAAAAAAAACTGTCTTAACCCAACTGTAATTTTTTCTCTGCTAAAACAACCATCTCAACTTAAAATCGTTAAAACAAGCTAAATCCATTTCCGGTGTTCTATCGAGTTCCGAGGCAAATCCGTCAAGAGGTTCATGAGTTATGATAGGACATTTAAACAAACAGATCAATACTTCATAAATATACTAGCTTGGAGCTTTGTTTAAAACCTAATCTTTCTATATGAATGTCATTCTTCTCAAATAAATTTTAAAACCGAGCTTAGAACATTCCCCTCTTTTTAACGAGTTTCTCAATCAAAACTTTAATGGGTTATTATCGGACATACAAACAAATGAAAAAAAAAAACAGAAAATACTGCTTAATACATATACCATAGATTTACTTTTGTGTTTGAATTCAGGTCTGTGGGTTGGAATCATTGTAACCCTAGGATTCTCTTTGATCTGTGCCTGGGGATTCACCATGCTCGCAAACATTAATGTAAGTTGGTCTAATAATTATGATTTATTTTCATATTATAGTAATAAAGTGCATATAAGGTGTTTCATTGACCAAAGGAAAACTATCTCCCTGCCACTGTTAAGGATCTATTTCATTTTGCTTTAGATCGTTTTTAAACAAATCCCAGCCCTACTCTCTATCACTAGAATTATATCATTTTCTTCTCAAAAACTTTGGCATCATCAGGAGTTTGTCCTATAATATTAAGATATAAGCAAAAATTTTTAAAAAAATTTAGACGAATATATAAAATAAATTATACAACTGAACTTTAATAAACAAAGAAAAGAACAAGAAAACTGTGTAACGTTTCAAATGAATTATGTCATGACACATAAAACTTAAAAAGTCAAGAAGAAAAAACTAGAAAACGGTTCGTTACTCGTTGAAGAGTATTGAATGACTGGAAAAGGATTGAATAGTTTATGGGCGTATTCGTTGGGTTGGGGGGGGGGGTGTTGAAGTGGATAGAATTCGTCGACAAAACGGTCAAATACATGAATTCGATAAACACTAGAAGGTACTGTTCTGTTGGTAATACATAAACATACAGCTTAAAACAAACATAATACATTAATAATTTCATTTCGTTGTGAATCCGGAACATTTCTTTGAGATTTACTGAATTTTAAAAGAAGCAGAATTGTCAATTTTTCTTCTTCTTTTTTTGTTATTTTTTTGCTTATTTTTATGCTAAAACTTGATGAGCCATTCAGTGATCAGAAAATTTGTAATATCTCTTTTTCAACAATTCAGATATTGGTTTTCGAGAGTACACAAGTTTTTTTGCAGTTTTTGGTTGATTTTGCTATTTGATCCGGATCTGGAACCGAATCCAGGAAGCAATTTCATTTCAAAAATTCATTCTCTTAACCAAGAATTTTATTTTAACAGTCCTGATGTCATTTTGAAACTGTATAATATTTACTGTTGTAGTTTTTATGGATCTAGTATTTGGGACTTGAGTTCCCAATGTGTTTCAAAATTGTATACAGCATGGAATACTGCTATTAGAATTCTTTTTAATGTACCTAGAGATACGCATAGGTACTTGATTGAAAGTATTTCACAATGTTTACATGTAAAAACTATGTTAGCTAGCAGATGTGTGTCTTTCTATGAGACTATTGAAGCAAGTTCTAAGTTTTGCATTAGATTTCTTTCTAATTTATGTAAAAATGACCTCAACACAGTTCTTGGCAGAAATTTATTTTGTATTGCAAATGATTGTTCTGTAAATCCTTCCAATCTTAGTAAAATGTTAGTTAAGAAACAAATAAAATATTTTGATGTCCCATTGGAACATGAATGGAAAGTTCCGGTTTTACAAGAACTTTTAAGTACAAGAATGAATAATTTATATGTTGAAGGATTCGATGATTACGTAATAACTGAAATGATAAATATGTTATGTAGTGAGTAAAAATCATTGTTTTCTATTTGTGCATAATTTTGCATGTTTTTTTCTCTTTTCTTTTGGAAACCTGTGTTTTCAAAAAAAAAAAAAAAAAAAAATTTATTTAAACAAATTTTAACTACACCATTTATATATGTATTTATATCTTTGTGTGTGAATAAATCTTTATATAAAATCTTGCGGATCCGTATCCGGATCCTAAGCTCTGCTAATTTTTCCACTCTTGTCCGGTTCAATGTACCTAAAAAAAAATGCCAAACTATTATAAATCGACAATTGAATAATTTTTTATTTGTAGATTTTTCTTCTTTTTACTGTTGGTAAAGAATTTGGACTTCATTTGCTTTCTATATTTATTTTTAGCTTAGAATTTGACAAGAAAAGAGTAGAGTGTAGACCCAATAAAAATGATTAGTTCCGTGTTGTACGTTACGTTGCACGTTGACTTTTCTGTTATTGTTAAGACGTTAACCAATCTTTTTTCTTAATAACTTTAATATATTTTGTGAAATTCTATATCTAGTTATTTTAAAATATTATGACAATTTTCAGACAATGGATCGCTTCGATGACCCCAAGGGAAAGAGCATCTATGTTCCACAAACTGAGTAAACGAAGACGACTTGGCAAATAAACCTATTCGTGGATTATGATCTGATTTTACCTATTCCTGGATCACGACTGGACTACACCTATTGCTGGTTTAAGATCGGATTATTAGTCTGGATTAACAAATATTGAGAACACAAATTTTTAGATTCAATTTCTAAAATTAGATTTTCATAATTTAAAGAACCAATTCTTAATAGGCAATTTTTCCCCTAAAATTCTAATTAAAATTATAAAAATGATTGTTAGTAAATTAACAGTTAAAAGTTTAAGTTAGAAAGGTTTATTTATTGATTGTTTCCGTTTTTTCATTTAGGATTATTTAAGTGTCCTTCTTGCACTTGATCTCATTTTTATCTGTGATTTTATTTTAAGTGTGATTACTTATTGTCGATTAAATGTTAAATAAATAACTTATTAAATGTAGTGGGCTATATGCCCTGTAATATGTTTAAAAAATATTATTATTAAATTTTTATTACGATAATTTATGTTGGCAGATTTTTTCCAATTTTAATAGTTTTATCCACTTTTTCTCAAAATTTCCACAAATTCATTAGATTTTTGAAAGTTTGCATTGAGAATGATTTGCGTTTGTTTCACATGAATAGTCGATAGGAATTACTAACAATTCTTGTGTGCACGCATGTGAAGATGGTAGTATTTTGATACAATGTTAGAAGTTTAACATCTTAATCTTTATATCATGATGTTTTACTTCTTTTGGATAGTTTCTCGTCATCATCAAAGCTCAAAATCCAACTCAAATTAAAATCGTGGAAAAATTAATTCTTTTTGTATCGTCAAGTTTCTTCAGGATATTACCTCCTTTAAAACCTTTTTATGTTTTTTTTAGATGTTCTATATAGTTGTCCGGTTTATTTTTAGGTTTTAAATTTTATCTATAATTTCAGAGATAATGTCTAAAGGAAATGATGCAAGAAATGGATATTTAGAAGAAATCATCGAGCCATCGATTGAAAATATGCAAAGCATAGTTAAAGAAAATAGAGGGACGTGAAGACAGGAACGGTAGATTTTAATGGTAAACTTTTTCCGTTCATCGATTTAATTTCCATTTTCCTCACAATCTATTTTTACCTATACTTTGCTTTTTTTCCCGGCTTTTTTGGTGTTTGTTTGTCTGTTTATCTAATAAACGTCAAAACTGCCAGGCCGATCCGGACCAGTTTTTTTGTGTGATTTCAGAATTGCAAAAAGTTGTCACAAAAATGTTTAACTTTCGTAAATTAAATTTTGAAAATCGACAAGAAAAATTGTAAATCTGAAATTTTGTTTAGTACTGTTTTATCGATTAGAAAATGAACAATTAAAAGTTGAACTAGAATATAGGCGCGAAGCTCTCATGATAGCATGGTTAATATGATTTGTCTCGATGAAAAAGCATTAAATTTTTTTTTGGAAAGTTGATAAATAGTTATAATCATGAAATCTTTTTTGGCTTGTTAACTTTCCAGACCTGTAACGCAATAACACATTAAATGCATACAAAACTTCGTATGATTTCTTTATCAACTAACCATTTGTTGATAATTATGTAGTTGTCCATAATTGAAGTTTTAAAAGGTGTTGTACAAAATATTTTATGTATAAATATTTTAGTACATTTTTTTCCTATTAAAACTTCCTGTGCTGGAAGAGGCCTAACAATTTGAAAATATATTATTCAATTATTATTAATGAGTTAACCGTAAGTCCCGTAAGGAAAGATTTTAAACTAATTACTCTCTAATGACGTAGAACTTTTATGAACTTATCAAGTTATTCGTAAAAAAAATTTGCAACTGCATTTAAACACTGGATTTCCGAATCTGTTATATTCTGACTTCTGTTGACTCTAACTATTTTATATGATATATCCCTGATAACCTAAAAGATGGAGTTTTAAAACTTTTAAAAGTCGCCTTTTTTCCAGACAAAATATTTCATTTTCAGTTTAAAACCAGTCATAAACCTTCTCTAATATCATGTGAAATGTCTCGAAAAACTTGGGACCAATCGGTTCTGCCGTTTTGACGTTTCTGGATACGCTTATAGATATATATAAATAGAGTATTGGAAACCAAGCAAACCTTTAATATCGAATTATTATTTAATGGAAATTTAATTTAGGTTTTTATTTATTTTTGCTCGGTCTCTCTTTTTCCACTTTTTTTCTCGTTATTTATTTTATTTCTGTACTCACATTTTTAAATGTGTGCAGGCGATCGATTTATTATATATCCAATCTGAATTTTAAAAAATATATATTTTTTGTTGATATCATTGTTATCCTTTCAGAGAAAATGGAAGGGAATACAACAGACAAAGTTAAAATGGAGGATGTAGATGCAGAAAAATTAAAAGTTTTTGTGAAAGAAGAACTTCTTCATGCCTCCAATGAAGAACTCCTCCAGGCGTCAAAGGATGAACTCCTCCAAGCGTCCAAGGAAGAGCTCCATCAGGAGGAGGAGGAGGATGCTGATAATCTGTTTGTGCAGACCGGTGACGTTAAAGTGGAAATATCAGAGACTAACGGTAAATTTTATCAATTTGTTTTTCAAACCTTAATGTTTCAAACTTAAGATTTTCTTCTTTTTCTTACCTCAGCCTTTATTTTAACACATTTAGTGGGGGAGGGAGGAGGGGGTCCTCGTCTCAATATATCTAACGAGAATGATATTTTTTTTTAAAAATCTGAACAATTAAATCTCTACGGTAAAAGTTTGTCTAGCTGTATTTTTATTTCGTATTCACTATTCAAGCTAAATGTAAAAAAACAGGGTTGTATATTTTTCTCGAAAATTATTTCCCCTCTTCCTCCTTTGAAAATCAATTTTTCCCCTAGATGCTGTAATGTTTTTTAGTTTTTTTTTTGTCGCTTAATTGGGAAAAATAAAAAAAATAAATGAATTTAATATTATTGAAATAAGTAGAGCTCACTGGTTTGAACAGCGCATTGAAAATATTTTTTTATTGCAGGAGAAAGTCTATGCTACGACGACAATGGTAAACCTTCCTTTTCTTGCGATGAGTGTGATTATTCTACTTTGAATAGAGCAAACTTAATGAAACACATTGTGAGTAAACAAAACGGCGGGGTTGTGTTCCCGTGTGATCAGTGTAAATATGAACCGATAGCAATGATGAGTTTACAGTATCATATGAACTGGGTTCACGGAACTATTCCTAAATCCAGCTTTTCATGTGATAAGTGCGAATATGTCACAACTTCAAATTCAAGTCTCAAATATCACATTGAGCACTGTCATACAGAGGTAAAGTTCTCTTGCAACGTCTGTAAGTTTTCTACTGCCCGGAAACAGAATCTAGCATACCACATTCTGAGAAAACACGTCAAGCAGAGGTTTCCTTGTGACGTTGAAAAATGTGATTACGCTGCAACTACAGAATATAATCTTATCAGACACAAGGAATGTAAACATGAACAGCTGAGAAAATTTCCTTGTGACAAGTGTGAGTATGTCGCCAAGGCTGCCGTCAATTTGAAGATGCACAAACAAAGGAAACATGAAGGCGTGAGATTTCCCTGTGATAAATGTGATTACTCCGCCACAACTAAGGTGGGATTAAAGATACACATAGATGGAAGACATGAAGGAAAGGGATTTCTTTGTGACAAATGCGATTATTATGGGATTACCGCAGGGAGCCTAAAACTACACATAGAGAGTAAGCATGAAGGAGTAAGATATCCTTGTGATCAGTGTGATCATGTGGCAATAGCTGCAGCGATGCTTAAGTATCACAAACAAAGTAAACACGAAGGTATTCGGTATCCTTGCGCTGATTGTGATTTTTCTGCTACAACTAAACGCTCCTTGAAATTCCACAGGCAAAATATCCACGAGGGAGTCAGATTCCCCTGTGATAAATGTGATTATGTTGGAACAACAATTAAAATTTTAAGGCATCATACAAAAAGCAAACACGACGGTATAAGTTATCCTTGCGATGAATGTGATCTTGAAGCAACAACACCTTGGAGTCTGCAGAGACACAAGATGAACAAACACGAAGGAATAAGGTATCCTTGTGATGAGTGCGGATTTTCTGCCTCCTCAAGCTGTATTTTAAAAACGCACAAGATGAATATCCATGATGGGATCAGGCATCCTTGTGAGAAATGTGAATTTGTTGCTACCACTGCGAGGATTTTAAGACAACATCTGAAGAGTAAACATCCCCCACCAGAATCATCGACTTTATCTGTTGTCCCCTGTCCCACTGTTACCCAACCTTCAGACAATATGTCTTCTACCAACCTACTCACTTTCTCTCCATCTCTAAATAACCAACCTACATCCTCTCTCACACAACCAAACCATGGTTTAAACATGTAATTTATTCTGGATCACAAGAGTTAAAACTATATTAATGGACATTTTTGCATCGTAATTTTTCTTTGTTAATTATCCAATCGATTTTTACGGTTGATTTAATGAGTTGCCAATTTATCTTAAAGAACGGTAGATCGATTTACGGTGATACCATTTAAACCTATATTTAAGTATCGATTTACGGTGATACCATTTAAACCTCTATTTAAGTATTGATTTACGGTGATACCATTTAAACCTCTATTTAAGTATCGATTTACGGTGATACCATTTAAACCTCTATTTAAGTATTGATTTACGGTGATACCATTTAAACCTCTATTTAAGTATCGATTTACGGTGATACCATTTAAACCTATATTTAAGTATTGATTTACGGTGATACCATTTAAACCTCTATTTGAGTATCGATTTACGGTGATACCATTTAAATCTCTAATTTTAGTATTGATTTACGGTGATACCATTTAAACCTCTATTTTAGTATCGATTTACGGTGATACCATTTAAACCTCTATTTAAGTATCGATTTACGGTGATACCATTTAAATCTCTATTTTAGTATCGATTTACAGTGATACATTTAAACCTCTAATTTAGTATCGATTTACGGTGATACCATTTAAACCTCTATTTAAGTATCGATTTACGGTAATACCATTTAAACCTATATTTAAGTATCGATTTACAGTAATACCATTTAAACCTATATTTAAGTATCGATTTACAGTGATACCATTAAAACCTATATTTAAGTATCGATTTACGGTAATTCCATTTAAACCTCTATTTAAGTATCGATTTACAGTGATACATTTAAACCTCTATTTAAGTATCGATTTACAGTGATACATTTAAGCCTATATTTAAGTATTGATTTACGGTGATACCATTTAAACCTCTATTTAAGTATCGATTTACAGTGATACATTTAAACCTCTATTTAAGTATCGATTTACAGTGATACCATTTAAACCTATATTTAAGTATCGATTTACCGTGATACATTTAAACCTATATTTAAGTATCGTTTTACAGTGATACATTTAAACCTATATCTAAGTATCGATTTACGGTGATACCATTCAAACCTCTATTTAAGTATCGATTTACCGTGATGCATTTAAACCTATATTTAAGTATCGATTTACGGTGATACCATTTAAATCTATATTTAAGTATCGATTTACGGTAACACCATTTAAACCTCTATTTAAGTATTGATTTACGGTAATACCATTTAAACCTCTATTTAAGTATCGATTTCTGTTACATTCTCTTTTGTCTGATAAAAAATCGTGGATTTACATGAAAGCAAGGGTGTATTTAAAAAAAAAAAAACTTTACCCCGAAATGTTAGGTGCGTTTGCTCTAAGCGAAAAATTTTTCTGGATGGTCATATTCTTCGAAATGGTGAAATTAATTGAAGTTTTGGATAACAAGTATCAAGAAAGGGGGTTTTAAATGTTAGATTTTTATTTTCTCCGGCAGCAACAAAACTCCATCCTCCCTCATCTCCCAGCTCCAGGGGGGTGTCATGATTCTTGAATATTCCCCTGCAATTCAAATCGATATGATTGTTAAATTCAATGGCGACTTGTAAACGTATGAATCGTACGTTTTCTATAAGTAAAAATGTACACACTACGTCCATCGTCCACTGTACAGAAGGGGTGATGTATTTTGGCCATTGAACTCCCCCCTCTATGAGCATAGGATTGGTTTTGGATATTTGAAAACAACATTTAGAAAAGGCTTTTTTTTCGCAAGTTGAAATTTCCAACCGGAAACCGGTTTTTATGAAATAAAGGTTGAATAATTCACTATTGCAAGCGGGAAAAATATCTTCAAGATACACAATATCGGTACCAAAAGATTTATCTTGAAACTCTGAATTCAGAAATCCTGAAATCGTAAATTGATTAAATTAGAGGCGAAAACTGATATTTGAGACCAAAAAATGGCCGAGTCTCAAAAAATCTGTTTTTCGGCCATATATAAAACAATTTTTAAAATATTGAATCAAAAACAACGGGACGGTATTCGCCGGTTCCAGACGCATTTTTTGATACCAATTTCGAAGTGTGGTATTTTTTTACTAGGGACAAAAGTCCGGCAAAAACTCTTGTATTTATGGGCACATTACATTACGGTTGGGGGTGTACATGCAAGTCCAAAGGATAAAAGAGATGAAATGTACATGCAAGTTCAAAGGATAAAAGAGTTGAAATGTACATGCAAGTCCAAAGGATGTAATGTAGATGCGATCCCAAAGGATGAAATGTACATGCACGTTCAAAGGAGTCCATAGGATGAAATGTAGATGGACGTTCAAAGGATGAAATTTACAATGTACATTTACGTTCAAAGCATTAAATGTGCATGCAAGTTCAAATGATGAAATTAATAAACATCGAGAAGAAAATGTAAATCATCAAAAAGTTCCAGTTTTGAATTAAAGTAAGCTTTCTTTCAAGTAAATGATGGTTAGGGAAAGTTTCTGTTTAAAAACGTTGTACTTTTTTTTTTTGGGGGGGGGAGACTTTTTTATTCAGATTAATATTTGGTTTAAGGTCATGAATTTAGTATCGAAATTACAATCAGTACTACGAAATAAGTTTCATTTTTCTTTGATATTGATGAAAAGATAAGTAGCCCAAATGAACTTGAGTCAAATTCAACCAAACTTTGAATGACACCTTTAGTTGCAAATAAGTTTGCATCTTTGGATTGATAAAAAAGTAAGTTTTATTCTAAATATTGGCGTGAATTTTCTTAACGACCCATTCAAAATGATACGTTACATAACATGTTTTTAATTAGAAAATAATACTTGTCACCATCAACCGTCTCAAACCAATAAACATATCGAGTTACAACATTTTGTTTATATTTTTGAATATTATTATACCTCTTTTTAGGGGATGGCAGAAAGAATGGACAATGTTGAGATATAGATGGAGAAAGTTGTAAAACATCCTAGTTATATAAAGGAAAACAATCTGAAGACTGAAATCAAGGAAATGAAAGGTAAAAGATAAAACAAGGTCATTTCTCTAGACACTAGACAGAGGCGAAATTGGGTATTTTGTGAACCCTATCCTGATTAGGCTATTTTCGTCTAATATTTTTATTTATAATCTTTTCATTTACAAACATTGTATTAATTGTAGCCATGGCATTGATTTGTAATAATTTTAATTCATAATTACTTTTACCGTTTATATATTAATCTTTGAATGGAAATTGCGTACACATTTAAAAGGTCATAGTGTAAACAATGCCAAAAAAACATGCACTTTTTAGCCTTTTTTACAAAACTAGAAATTCAAGGCGCTTCGCGCCCTTCTTTCTAGCCTTAGAGGGCGCTTCGCGCCCATCTCCTAAATTAATTGTGAACATGTTCTCTTTGTGTACATCGTAAAACAAAAAAAAAATAATTCGCGGATTTTCACAAAAAAGTTCGCGGATTTTCAAAATTTTAAAAAATTTGATGACGATCGAATTTTGATGGAGACAAATATTTGAAATTTTGATCACTCATAAACCTTCCCTGGGCTCCCTAGATGTCCCACAAAAAAATTGGGCCCGATCGGTTCAGCCGTTTTGACGTTTATTGGATACAAACAGACAAACAGACAGACAAATAGACAAACAGACAAGCTAAATTTATATATAGATTACAACGGATTCTGGATAATGTAGATACAGAAATAGAATCTAACATCCATTAATTAAAGATTTGCGGGCGTCGCAAGCCCGCCCAAGTATTTGGAGTTTTCACGGAAATTACCAGTTTTTCGTCGGATTTAAGAACTTTAACGAAACATTAATAGGACTTTGAAACTTCTCTCAAAAAAAATCTTAAGGAATAGACACTTGCCTATTTTTTTTTTGTCAATTTTTGCAACAGCCGATTAAATCCAAAACTATTATTTTAGGATAAAGTTTGGATACTTAGTTTGTTGAATTCCCTTGTAAACATTGCAACAGTACGAGTATTCAACATCGCTTCAGGACATGAACAAGTTTATCTGACACTCGCCATTTAGGATTAACTTTTCAATGTGATCAGTGTGAACTTTCGATATCAACAATTCAGAGTCTAAAAAGACACAAAATATATAATATCAATACTAAATTTCATGATGTAACACTGGAAGAATTTTACGACAACTTTGAGTCAATATTGAAGCTTTTCGGGGTTTTCTTAAACAAAATGGACAGAAATAAAACAATATTTACATTAGAAAACATATTTTTTGATCAATAATAAAACATTTTTGAGCTGAAAGGTTCCGTCTTCTTTCCAGTTATTCAACATAAAAGTATTAAAAGCTATTTTATATTTTTATAATTGTTAATTTTTCAGAAAAAAAATGGCGGAAAGTGTAAAAGAAGAAAATGGAATGGAAGATTTCGAGATGAAAGAAGAGAAACCAATAAAAGAAGAAATCCTCCAACCATCAGCTGATGATAACGGTGTTTTTATCAAGGATGAAGATGTTAAGTTGGAAATCACTGAACTGAGAGGTAATTAAAAAATACTGTTTTGTGCCGCTATCTGCTTTATGTACTGTATGAACTGTATAGCGCCCTGAAGGCAGTTTGGGGGTTCCATCAACAATCCACTTAAAGTCTTTAGATAATTTTTAAATTAAGACAAAGAAAACTTTTAAGAAAACTGGTTACTTTTCAAACTTTTGATCAAATTTAAATATTTAGCCTTTTGTTCTATAATTTTAAATCCCTTTAAAAACCCCTTTTTGATATTTATTGTTAGTTAAACATAATTTATTAAAATCTTAATTTTTACGTGATACTTGAACTTTTAATGATCTGTTTTTTGCATTGGCAAATTTTAGAGTCAAGTTAATGTATGATTTATAATGATCGTGTAAATCTTCACTCTTAATGATATATTTAATTTTAAATAATATGTATCCCTGTAAATCTTTAGATTTAAAATGAAAGGGTTATAATTATGAACCATATATTTTAACAACTTTAAATATTCATTGCTAATCCTAGTTGGCAATTTATAAATAGATGGAAATATGGGTTCATATTATATTTTATATTTACTTTGGACACAAAGATAAAAATGTATATAATTTAAAAGCAGGGGTGTATATTTACTCTCAAAAAAAACATTCCCCCTCTTTTGAAAATCGTTTTTCTCCCCCAAAAGTTAAGTATAACTCATAGGGTTCTATTTGCTGAATAAATAAATAAATAAATTTTTGGGTAAATAATATGAAAAAGTTGCCTTTTCATGTTAAATTTTTTATTTTTTCTCAAATCTTTAAAAATCACCCCGGAATTAATAATGTACATATTGTACATTATTAATTCCGGGGTGATTTTTAAAGATTTTTAAAGATGTACTTGGTAAATGATTTTTTGATAAAGCTTAAATCGTTTTTTTAGATGACGCAGCATTGCCTGGGGATTTCGGTATACCGGGATCTATCCTCTCGTGTGAGAGCTGTGAATATTCTACATCATCACAAATCAACTTAATGAAACACATGGCAAGCAAACGCAAAATTAGCGTGATCTTCCCTTGTGATCAGTGTCAGTTTGCACCGTTGACACTGCCGATTCTAAAATCACACATAAAGAAGATTCACGAGAATTTTTTGCATGCTTGTGATCTATGTGACCATGTTCCCAGGTCTGTGGAGGAATTGAAAGATCACTTGTTACTAAGTCACCAAATGGTCCGATATCCATGTGCTCATTGTGACTTTTTAGCATCGACAAATGAAAATCTCGAATATCACATTGTGAGAAAGCATGTTAAAAGAAGATTTCCGTGTCCCTTGTGTAAATATGCAGCAAATTCTAAAAAGAATCTGAATGCTCACGTAGAGAGTATTCATGAGAAACGCAAGTATCCGTGTAGTGAATGTTCTTACGCTGCAACATCAACGAGTAGCCTAAAAGCGCACAAAGAAAGGAAACACGATGGTGTAAGGCATCTCTGCGGGGAGTGTGATTACTCTACAGCGAGTTTAAACAGCCTTAAAGTACATATTAAAGGTAGACATGAGGGCTTGGGGTATTATTGTGATAAATGCGAGTATTATTCAATTTCCCCAACTGGTCTGAAAATGCACATCAATATTGTTCACGAAAATGTCCGATTTCCATGTGACCAGTGTGAGTACAAAGCAACTAGTGTCGGAAATCTCAAAGGTCACAGAGAAAGTAAGCATGATGGAGTAAGATATCCTTGTGACGAATGCGAGTTTTCTGGAATTACCAGACGTTCCCTGAAAGAGCACAAACAAAGAGATCATGAAGGCGTGAGATACCCTTGTGATCAGTGCGATTATGTGGCAACTAGGGTAAAGGTTTTAAGAGAGCACACCAGCAGTAAACATGAAGGCTTGACGTTTCCATGTAATGAATGTGATTTGGTCGTTACCACGATCAAAAGCTTAAAAAGGCACAAGTTGAACAAACATGAAGGAGTGCGATATCCTTGTAGTGAATGCACATTTTCTGCGTCATCAAGCTGTATCTTAAAGACCCACAAGTTAAACATTCACGATGGAGTGAAACATCCCTGTGAATCATGTGACTTTGTTGCAACCACAGCTAGAATTCTAAGACAACACGTCAAGAGCAAGCATTAAAGATCTTTTTAAAAAAAAGTACAAAGCTCTGTGTTATTTTAAAGAGTGGATTTATAATTTTCCGCTAAGCTTCCCGGAATCTTGAACCATATTTAGCATACTAATAACAGCAGGCTTTGCAGCATTTTTTTAACCTCAATTACTTTATGCTTCATCTTTCCAAACTTAAAAGAAAAAAAAACATTGTTTTAAAATCAATTTTATATTTGATTAAAACGTAAAAGATACATTTAAATCAATTTAAATAATTTCATTTAAAATGTATATTTTTAATTTAGTATCAAAATCCGGATCTGTACTGAAAAGAAGTTTGGTTTGAGAAATGTGTATTGTGAAAACTGTAAATAGATTTAAGTAATTGGTTTAGCATAGTGTATTGCTGTGATTGTGTTTTTATTATCTGTCTTTGTACTTTTCTGTATATGTTATTCCTTTTTAATTATTAATATATTTTAACATGTTTTGCCGTTAAACTTGTACGGTTTTGACGATTATTATATACACTGTACAGCAATGATAGAAAACGTATAAGCGACTATTGTTTGGTTGTTTGTTTTAAAGGCTTTTAAGCCAAAATTCACTTATTTTCAGAAGTGGACGAAATATAAAGGGGAGTACTTGTGTAAGAAAATATATGTACATGTAACCGCAAGGCGAAATATATTTCCTTCAAACCTTTTTTCTAACTCTATTTTGTTATTTCACATGATTTGTTATCATAGGTATAATTGAAGACAATCCGAAGAAAGCTTCGCCGCAGAATTTCTGTTCTAATTTTGGTAGCCTAATACTTTTAAATAACAGAATTTTATCTTCTTGGGAAATCATCATTAATAGTATTTCAAACTGTAAGTAAAATAATATGACATAACCAATATTTTGTAACTTTGGCGCAGATTTTTATTGTTACCTGAACATTATCAGGGTTTTTATGATTTCTTTTAAAAATAGTGTATTAGCATAATAAACATTTCCTGTACCTTCGTTTCTGTTTCAAAATACAAATAATTACCTTTTTTTCTGTTTCAAAATGCAAATAATTACCTTTTTTCTGTTTCAAAATACAAATAAATACCTTTTTTCTGTTTCAAAATACAAATAATTACCTTTTCTGTTTCAAAATACAAATTATTACCTTTTTTCTGTTTCAAAATACAAAAAATTTCCTTTTTTCTGTTTAAAAATACAAATAATTTCAAATTAATTTTTTAACGTCGAGGAAAAATTAGTTGTTTGAATTATTTAGATGAGATTCGTTTTCTTATGTTTATGTTATGCCTGGATAAAGTCTGCAAATCATAAACAGATCATTTTGATAATATTTTTCTAGTTATGTTAATTCTTTAATGGTCACTTTTTTAAAAACTAAATATCTTTTGGGTTGAAGACTAAATTTGATATTTTTCTCATGTTTATTAAAGTTTAATATAAACATGTTTATTGCTCTCTTCACCCTTCGTTCCACCTCATTCATTAATTTTTACAAACAAGTTCTTAACTTCATAATCCAACAGTTCAATACTTATACACCTGTGCACTTATGCTAAAGACTTTTCTTATTCCTTTTCAATATCTCGTGATGGTTACACCCTGATGGAACAATTCTAATTGGGAATAATTGAAAGCCCACATAGAATATCGAGATCCATTTAAGATAAACCGTGAACGATACGCTACAAAAGTTCAACATCATATAAATAGATAAACATGGGAATTAACAAAGTGAAAACTTAACGATCGTGAAAAACTTATCATTAAGTAGCTGGTAAATTTTTAAAGCTTATATTATCGAAGAAAAATAGTCACATTTAAGTCTAAACTTATTACTAGAATAAAGGGATTGTAATTTTAGAGGACTTATCACGATGTTAGAGTTCCAGTATTTAAATTTAGAACATGTTACACCTTCTCATCAGATGGTAATCTAAAAGAGTTACTTTGTAGGGAAATCTCTGATCAATTTGCAACAAACAAAAACATTGCATTACTTTGTATTTATAAGATTTTTAAAGAAATTTGATCAGTTGATTGCATGCAAATTAATCAGTTTATTCATCAATGAATTGTTCATTTATTGATGCAAGAATCGATAAAAAAGATTTTCAGAAATTAAAATGAAATTAAGGCGGCCATTTCAGAAGGTTTGTAAATTACATTCTCCAACAAGTTTATACCCTGATGCTATATCGTTTGCACTAATGTCCTATTGAACTAACGTACTTTTGCACTAAAGTTAGCTGATCAGTAACACTTGTGGCCGCAGCGCCTGGCCCCCTAGCCGCGGCGCTCGGCCCCCTAGCCTGTCCTAACCGCAGCGCTCGGCCCAGAAAAATTGTCCTAACCTAACCCTCAAATAAATCGTTAGTCCGAATTTGAACGTTAGTGCGAATGTACGTTAGTCCGATCAATCATTAGTGCAAACGATACGACACCTATACTCTACAACAAGGTACTATTGATTCACCGACAAAAGGTCAAACGACACAGGGTCAAACGACAAAACGTCAAAATGATAAAAATATTTTTTGATTTAAATCATAGGAAATTCGCAACCCTCCTATATCAATTTTGTACATGGATCTATATGTTAGACATGGATATAATTGACCATGTGGCCGCAGCGCTCGACCCCCTAGTCTGTCCTAGCCGCAGCGCTCGGCCCAGAAAGTGTCTTTAACTAACCTAACCCGTGGCCGCAGCGCTCGGCCCAGAAAGTGTCCTAGCCTAACCCTAAATAATAATAATTAAATACTACTGTAACAGATGTCAAAATTTTAAAAAAATTTCCCCTTTGTCGCATTTTTTGACCCCTATGTCGTTTTACCCTTTGTCGTTTTACCATTTGTCGCGCTTTTGACCCTTAGTCGTTAATGACCCAGTGTCGTTTGACCCTGTGTCGGTGAACCCTAATATTCAGTTACGGGGGATAGGGGTTGTGTACATTTTACAATAACGTACTAGACTAGGACAGCTCAAGAACTGGTTTAATGTAAATAAACAACAGGGGTTTAAACTATGATGTTATAAGTCCGGCCTTCATTTCCTACTCAGGCTACCCATAGTGCCGACTATTGTTACGGATCTTTGTCATTGTTTTAATTACGGGGAGTGATCTGCAGGTGGTGGCGTGGCAGACCTGCCGTGTCACCCTCTACAGGGCAGACATGTCACCCCCACACTTGCATGAAAGGCAGTCGACACAAAGTATTTTTAAGATCGAACTTTCGCTCTTGCCAAACATTTTTACCCCATTAAAACGTTCAATAGGTTCCAAATGAATCCTTAAAATGTCATTACAATACTGCAAACCTCAATTCAACTACCATGTCTACGTGGTCACTCCCTTAAACAATAGTGCCTAGCAGCTAAATAAATCATATAAATATGTATACAAAATATATCCCACGCGGTCCCAACTCTCCCAACTACCTGTAGTAAACACAATAATAACCTTCCTCGACTACGTAAGAAACAAGATTGATTAAATTCAGTCTTCAAAATCTGATTCTTTGTTGGCGATCCTGTATCTGATTTCACCAAATATTTTTGCACATTTTTTATTTTTCATTAAGCATTTTTCTCCTAATTATGGGACCCAGGAGAAAGCTGATTTTGTAACATTATTAATTTATGTTAATCTTAAATTTCAAATATTTAATTATTTTCAGCTGTTCATGAACTCGTTCACATCAGAAAAGAAATGTGTCTGCTATATTTGGATGTTTTGTAAGTTGTTATTCAGTTTTTTTGTTTCAAACTCGTTCAAGCACATAATTAAGTTCTAAAGACGACATTTTCTGTTTTAATAACATAATCAAAAAACTAATTTAATACCTAATATTGCTCTAATCAAGGTTTAATGATCACTGGAATATTTTCATTTTCTGTCCAGGTATCCTTCTTTAAATTGATTTGTTTTACAATAAAGTTTAAAGGGGTTTTCACGACATTTTGAGTTTGTCAAGATTCACAGCAATGACCTTTGACCCTTTATCTGAGCAAAGTGGACGAAGAGATCAAGCTTATTCTTACAAGAACACACAAGCAACTGCAATTGCTTGTGTGAACTGAAGTCAAAACGTTTGAGTTGTAAATCTGAGGATCAAGCAGCAGGCTCATGCAGACATTCGAATTAAATTAATTCCTGTTCAATATTCACCATGTGCAGGAGTCATACCTTGTAAATCAATACTTGAGGGATTAAGCATTTGTCCTCAAATTTAAAAATGCGAACGTTGGGTATGTACAGGAAATTCATTTTTCATAAGTTTGCAAGGGATCCGTAGTAAATCGTATGGATCTTTTTTAATACAATCTTTGAATGGTTTGGATGTCGTCTTCGTCATTCTGAAGACGACATTATTTCTCTCTCCAGGTTTGGAACAATTCGGCTAACTACACAAGGTAAGTGTTTTAGTTCTATGTCTGTATGTTTTGTATCCAGAGGCTTATTCACGGGGGGGGGGGGGTCTTTGGGGACTAAGCCCCCCCTGGGCCAGTGAACTCTATTGATTTCAGGGGGTTTTCAGGCCCCAACGGATGCTGAGCCCCCCAGCCCCTGGAAATAAAAAAAAATTAAGCCCGCCCCTGGACAAATTCCTGAATACGCTCCTGTCTGTATCTCCTACAAACTTGGGATGCCATTAATTTTAATGTATATCTACTTGTACAGTGAGAGACATCAAACCAAGCTAATATATAACGTGTTTATGATATTGAAAAAAAGCAAATACTCAGACTTATAAAGTGTTATGAGTCTAACAGTCGTCTTCCTATAGTGTTATGGATCTCACTGTTATATTCAGAAACCAGCAACAGGTTGCAGATGATCTTGTAAATTGCACGAAGTCAAATTCATGTAAGCAAAAGATTCAGGTAATATTTACATCACCATGATGTCTGAAATAATTTAGAAAGGTCTTTCGTGATATATAATTGTCTTTTGTACAATTATTGCAATTATACAAAAGACAATATTTTGTTTAAATTTGTCTATAAAAGCCAATTAACTTTATTTAAAAGTTTCAAATCAAGATAATAACATTTCCGTGGTTCTTTAACGAGTTCCTGAATCAAAGTTTGAGGCAATTCGGTCAACGGGCTCCTGGAGTTATGATCGGGCATACAAAGTTTCAAACAGACAGATACACAAACAGAGATTACTACTTTATACGTTTAGATAATCGGAAAACTATGGAATGATTGTTGTCTTTTTTATTTCCTTTAATCAAGAAATGTTGCTCATGATTTCAAAATTTGCAATCATTTTAACTGTATAAATATTTGTCTAAAAAGGACAAATTTCTGAAATTGAAATTGGCAACAAATTTTCAAAATCCTTACCGACATTATACAATGGAGAATATGAAAGAATATAACAATAATTCCACTGTTTTTTAGAAACCACTATAATAATCATACAACTCATTAAACAGTGTTAATATTGATTAAGAACATGTTTTAGTTTAAAATGTATGGAAAGTTAAATTTTTGTTATAATAAAACTTCAACTAAAAACAAACGCTCTGTTTAAAAATAAAATAAGTTCTGCTTGTTATTGCAGAATGTTATGGAAACTGCTTGTAAACCAGCTTCTAAAATTGCCTTTGCAAAAGTTCATAAGACAGGGAGCTCTACTCTGCAAAATATATTACTTAGGTTAACTTTAATTTAGATGATAAAAGGGGGGTCTGCTTGGTACGGGGGGGGGGCCGGGGGGTGAAGCTGAATACTGCATGACACCATCATTTTTTTAGGAATGGTTTGGAAAATGATTTAAATTTTGCTTTGCCCGAATCCTCCTGGATGTTTAACTCCAAAGTAATAATTTTTTAATAAAAATATGTTTTTTTAAATATTCAAAAATTTAATTAAAGTACAAAAGCTTTAAAAAAAGTACGAAAAAAGATGTTGCCACAGTACATAATTAAATAAATTAAATATTTGTTGTCTTTAATCTAAAAATTATTGATCTTTAATGGTTAATTAATGGTTAATTAAGGGTTAACTAATAAAGCAAATATTTGTAATCGACTGCATAAGTCATTTTGAGCAGGAGGCATTGAAAGTCAAAAGCAATGTTTTTCATAGTTTTATAAATATTTAGAAACCATTTGATATTATCGAAGTTTCGAGTCTTCCATGGGCTCATCTTGGATTTGATTTATTCATTTTTCATAGGTATTGACACTTTAGACACTTCATTGACACTTTAGACATTTCATAGACACTTTAGACACTACATAGACACTTTGAGACTATAGAGGCACTTTAATTTGTAGACACTTTTAGACACCATATACAACTGTTATGAGTATTTAATTCTGTTATGAAGCAAATAGTTTTACAAGCGTGCAAATGGCTTTAAAACTAACCTTTTTTTATATTCTTCTGTGAACACTGAATTTTCATTGAACTAAACGCTAAATTTTTTAACTAGAAACGAATTTCTTAACCAGACATTAAATTTCTTAACTAGAAACTAAATTTTTAACTAGACACTAAATTTCTTAACTAAACGCTGAATTTCGTAACTAGACACTAAATTTCTTAACTAGACACTAAATTTCTTAACTAAACGCTAAATTTCTTAACTAAACGTTGAATTTCTTAGCTAGACACTAAATTTATTAACTAAACGTTGAATTTCTTAGATAGACACTAAATTTCTTAACTATACGCTGAATTTCTTAACTATACACTAAATTTCTTAACTAAATGTTGAATTTCTTAGCTAGACACTAAATTTCTTAACTAAACGTTGAATTTCTTAACTATACACTAAATTTCTTAACTAAATGTTGAATTTCTTAGCTAGACACTAAATTTCTTAACTAAACGTTGAATTTCTTAGCTAGACACTAAATTTCTTAACTATACGCTGAATTTCTTAACTATACACTAAATTTCTTAACTAAATGTTGAATTTCTTAGCTAGACACTAAATTTCTTAACTAAACGCTGAATTTCTTAACTATACACTAAATTTCTTAACTAAATGTTGAATTTCTTAGCTAAACACTAAATTTCTTAACTAAACGGTGAATTTTCTAACTAGACACTAAATTTCTTAACAGACACTAAATTTCTTAATTTGACACTAAATTTCTTAACAAGACAATAAACTTCTTGCCTAGACGCTAAATTTTTTAAACTATAGACAATAATTTTTTTTAAACTAGACGCAAAATTTTGTAATCTAGATATTGTGAATTTTGTTGACATTGTTACACAATGGACTAAAGTTTTTCTCTCAAAGATTTTTTGTTTCAGTATCTGGAACTATGATGAAGTAAAGAAAATTTTACCTTCTGCTATATACATCACAATTCTAAGGTAGATTTTAAAAAGATTTTTTTCTTCCAAATTGACATTTAACTTTTTATCAGGAACCCAGTTGATTGTTATGAATCTAATTATGTTTACATGAACTTACAGGAAAGTTTGATTTTAAAAAATCCTTGTGCTCCCCTCCCCCCCCCCCCCCCCAGAAATCTCTGATGTGTCTTATCTTGACCATATATTTGTATTAACCAGGCCCGACTTTAGACTTCCTTTAGTTTATTGTTCTACTACGAACTGTACGCCCCCCCCCCATCCACCATCTTAAACAAAAATAACAACAAATTCAGCCAAAACACACCCTTTATATCGATAAAACATGCATTTTTTAATATTCAAACTTTTGTAAAGAATATTTTTAAAATGGACATTAATGAGTTTGCCAAGAGAAAGGTAAAACTAGGAACTGAGTTTTTGTCACAAGTTTTCTTATCCCTAAATCTTTGTAGTAGACCTTTGATAAATCAAACTATGAATTCTGTTGGATCAAATAGTCTTAAAGTTTTAAATACCAAAGGTCGACATCCATCAGGTTGCAAAGATTTAGAGATTATGAAACTTAAGTTTGTGGCACGAACTCAGTCTCTTTTGAAATCAAAAATAAATAATAACAAACACAGATTTGAAATTATTCCTTTCAGGCTTCAAGAAATGTTAGTAGAAACTTGAAACTCCCAATAGGTTCGTAAAACACATTTTACACTTGGATTTTTCAGATGAACGCAAACCAAGATGTACTGTACACGCTCTCACGCAAAAATCGAGCAGTATTTTCCCCTAGTACTCCTTTAAAACTTAGAAATAAGCGCTTTGTATTTTTAAAATGTATAAGCCTAAGCCTTCAAAAAGTATAAGTATATTGTTAGGGTAAAACCACCTAGGTGTTGTGACGCGAAAATTTAAAGTCGATAATGTCTAAAAATTTGATGACTAACTTTCAGAGTTTTCTTTATCTCGTACAAGGGCGTACACAGGGGGGGAGGAAGTGCCCCCCTAGACCTTTAAGGGGGGGGGGATAGCCCCTCCCTAAAACTCAGAGCTATCACACTTTTAAAATCTGAAACTGAAAGTGAAGAACATAAAAAAAATTATTTTGCTTTTTTTCTGCCAGTTTTATTTGAAGGAGGGATAAAGTAAGGTAATTGGACTATGTGACGTGTATCCAAGAAGTCAAATGTTTTGAATTTGCAGTTCATATTCTGCCCACCCCCCCTAGAAACTCCTGGGGGGTGGGGGCAAAAAATATTTCGCCCCCACCCCCATAAATTTATTCCTGCTACGCCCTTGATCTTGTACTCTTCTCTTCTCGTTAATTTTTAAAAAGTTTTAAGTTTAGACCAATGAGAAATCGATAATTCACCGCACCACGAGGAGAAATTGAGTCCACTGAAAGAGCAGCAAAAGAACATTTTTTGGGGTTCTTTAAATGCTCTTTATAATTAACCACAAACAAGGAAATAGACGAGAATGTAGGGAAGGGTATTCACGAACTACCATGAAAAGATAAGTGTTTAGTCTTTGAGAGGAGCAAAACATTATTTGTCTCATCTGCATTTAGTTCTCATATTTAGGGAAAAATCAACAGCTGTTTGATCTTGGAGTTCCACGTGACAGCTTAGAAAACAATGCTTTAGGGGAGCAATAAATATTAGAGTTGATTGGAATTGATTTAAACTGTGGTCGGAACTTTTGATGGAGTTGAGCTATGACTTATTGCATTCTATTAAATCCGGAAAGGAATTAAGTCTTTGCCACAAACTCGGATTTCCTAACCCGCAAATCTTTGCAACCCAATGTCGTGGACCTTAGTCCTCATTTATTTCAAACTCAGAATTCTGTTAGATCGAATAATATAAGTTTGAAATATCAAAGTTTTACATCATTAGGTTGTAAAGATATAGGACTTAGAAAATTTAAGTTTGTGGGAAAGCCTTAATTCCTTTAGAGTTAAAATCCTTTAGATTTTCTATTTTTGTAAAACATATCAAATATAAATCAGAACCTCTGCTAATGAGAAACCCTTCGGCTAATAAGAAACAATTTAAGAAGGAGGATCATTTCTTAGATATTTTGAAAAGTTTTGCAGACGGTTATAAAAACTTTTTTATAATAACTAAATAATATTTTTATTTGTTGCTCCAAATAGTTAAAGAAAAGGTTAGTTCAATATTTTATTGCAGAAATGCCTTTCTATTTTATATTTTTTCATTATTAATAAACTATTCATACGTTGAAGGACTTAAAATTAATATAACGATAGATCCATTGATAACTGATAAATAATTAATCCTGCAGTTTTGCATCTTTTTTGTAAAATTATTTTTTCGATCATTTTTAGCATATACAGTACACTACTAACATGTGTAATAATTTTATCTTTGGCGTGCGAATAATACTTTAAAATAAAATCACAATATTGGTGAAACTTAACACCATTAAAAATAAAAAGGTATTTCTCATTGCTTGTCTTTCTTTTAATGCATTTATCCATTAATCATTGAGTTTCTTTCAGATAAAGGAGTTTGACAAACAGTTTGATTTAGTTTTGATCGCTGAACACTTTGACGAGGGATTAGGAAATTATTTTAAACTTTTTATTTTTATTTTTTGTCGTGGCATAAGTTTCTCATCAAGTGGACAATGGACACGAATCGAACTAAATACCGTGATTTTTTCTTGCCATCAAATTCGGTAATCCAAATTTTAAAAGACGACTTATTATTTTTATTTAAATCTTCCAATTTTTCAAGTTTTAAATTCACTTCTCAATTATTAGATCCCTCTATGGAAAATATAAAAAGTCAGAAAATAATTTAATAAACTGTTCAGTGCTTCTAGCAGACAAACTTTGCTGGGATTTAAGGGATGTAAGGTGAAGTAAAATCAAGTTTTATTTACACTTCAAGGGACTCACGTTGTAGTTTTAAGTGACCTTTCATTTACAGAGGGCAATGTTCGATTCACAATTAGAAAATTAGAAGTTCAGGGACAGAATTTTATGAATTTGATCTAGGTCGCTGAAATACCTACCGTCGATTCAAATCTTAAAGTAAAACATTTATGAGGATTCGAATGGATGATTCTGAATTTGAACCGGCAACAGGTAGTTCAGCGACCTCTCCAATTTATTAAATTCGGTCCCTCAGTAGGTAAGTCACCCTAATTTAACAGTTCGGTCACAAGTTGACCAATTAAACATAAATTTTTCACCTTTTTCTCTGCTGGCCAGAACGGTTTTTCAAATCGTTCGTTATAATGATCAATTGTTTTTGCTTCGTTCAGGCTCACATCTTCTATCAGAGTCAATTTTAGAAATTGAATTGACAGAATATAATAGTTTAAATTAGCCAAATAAAAGCCAATATATCTTATCAATATCTAAAAATGGATAACTCACCTTTCTCTCCTTTCATACAAATGTTATTCATTATGTATTTGTATCTAGAAGCAATAAATGTACTTCTAAAGTGGTGACCCCAGACAGCAAATGAACTATGGCCGGAAACACAACCTCCTGCTTAGAAACAGCTCAAGAATTGATCAAGGATGACAATCTCAAGCTTTGACTTCTTATCCACAAATTTACTATTCCTTCATCATGCAAAACCTCAGCTACTCCTGGAGTTAATAAGCTAAACCTCAGTTACTCCTGGAGCTAATAAGCTAAACGTATCATACGCCGCATAAATCTAAAGTTTTCAGGGACCTGGACCAGACAGCCAGATATTGAGCTCTCCGGGTTTCCCGGCACTGTAAAAATCATAGAATTCATCAATGTGTTTTTAACCCTTGTAAATGTATAATTATGTGCCTAATAAAATATTTATTTATAATAGGCTAAACCTCAGCTACTCTCGGAGCTAATAAGCTAAATCTCAGCTACTCCTGGAGCTAATAAGCTAAACCTCAGCTACTCCTGGAGCTAATAAACTAAACCTCAGCTACTCCTGGAGCTAATAAGCTAAACCTCAGTTACTCCTGGAGCTAATAAGCTAAACCTTAGCTACTACTACTGGAGCTAATAAGCTAAACCTTAGCTACTACTACTGGAGCTAATAAGCTAAACCTCAGCTACTCCTGGAGCTAATAAGCTAAACCTCAGTTACTCCTGGAGCTAATAAACTAAACCTCAGCTACTCCTGGAGCTAATAAGCTTAACCGCAGCTACTCCTGAAGCTAATCTATATATAATATATATACTTTGCTTGTCTGTCGGTCCGTTCGTATCAAATAAACGTCAAAACAGCTGAACCGATCGGGCACAAATTTTTTGCGGGACCTCACGTGACCCCAGAGAAGGTATATTGATGATCGAATTTTCAAAGATTTGCCTCCATCAAAATTATTTTTTTCGAAAGTTTTGAAATCCACGAATTTTTATTTTTAAATCTGTGAAAATTTTTTTTATTTTTGTTTTACAATGCACGTAAAGAAATTATGTTTCCAATGGATATAGAAAATGGGCTAAACTTCTGCTTCTCCTGGTCCTCCTGGAGCTAATAAGCCTAACCTCAGCTACTCCTGGAGCTAAAAAGCTAAACTTCAGCTTTCTAGAAGCTAATGAGCTACACAACTACTCCTGGAGCTAATTAGCTAAACAGCTAATAAGCTATAAAGCTACTCCCGGAGCTAATCAGCTACACAGCTACTCCCGGAGCTAATCAGCTACACAGCTACTCCTGGAGCTAATCATCGATACAGCTACTCCTGGAGCTTTTAAGCTGAACAGCTGCCATCATTTAACCTACTCGTAGATATTCTGGACGCCAGTTCTCTACAGGTTAAATCTATGCCCGCCAAGCCTTCACTATAGCTAATCTCTTCATATGGCCACTGGCTAGCCTTACACTATAAGGACTCAAAGAAGTTCGTAGTAAGATTTCGATTCTACTGGAGACCACCGGAGGGATTTTATTTTCACTGGAGGGGTTTCAAAAAATGCTTTTTGTAATTTAAAACTTTACGCAGAGGGATATCCTTCCTATGGGTTTATAATTCCACTGGAGGGATTCAGTTATCCTTTCTAGGGGTTTATAATTCCATTGGAGGGATTCAGATATCCTTCCTGGGGGGTTATAATTCCACTGGAGGGATTCAGTTATCCTTCCTAGGGGTTTAGAATTCCATTGGAGGGATTCAGATATCCTTCCTGGGGGTTTATAATTCCACTGGAGGGATTCAGATGTCCTTCCTGGGGGTTTATAATTCCACTGGAGGGATTCAGATGTCCTTCCTTTGGGTTTATAATTCCACTGGAGGGATTCAGATATCCTTCCTAGGGGTTTATAATTCCACTGGAGGGATTCAGTTATCCTTCCGAGGGGTTTATAATTCCATTGGAGGGATTCAGATATCCTTAAAAGGAGTTTTTAAATCCACTGGAGGGATTCAGATATCCTTCCAAAGGAGTTTTTAAATCCACTGGAGGGATTCAGATATCCTTCCAAGGGGTTTATAATTCCACTGGAGGGATTCAGATATCCTTCCTGGGGGTTAATAATTCCACTGGAGGGATTCAGATATCTGAATCTCTTTAGTGAAATTTTAAACCCCCTAGATATATATCTGAATTCTTTCAATTGAATTATATAAATCCCCCAGAAAGATATCTGAATCTCTCCAGTGGAATTATAAACCCCTAGGAAAGATATCTGAATCCCTCCAGTAGAATTATAAACCCCTTGGAAGGATAACGGAATCCCTCCAGTGGCATTATAACCCCCCAGGAAGGACATCTGAATCCCTCCAGTGGAATGTAAATCACCCTGCGTAAAGTTTTGAATTGTAAAAAGCATTTTTTCAAACCCCTCCAGTGTAAAAGAATTCCCTCCGATGGTCTCCAGTGGAGTCAAAATCTTACTACGAACTTCCGTGACTCCACTATAAGGTTGATAATGACATGGGAAGGGGGCAGATCAGAAATTTACAAGCAGCTATTTGTGAATTCCGTAAACACTTGCAAGGAAACTTCTGTAGAGGATGAAATCCCCAAAAGAGGATTACTAAATCCTCAAATTAGTAGTGTTGGATTCTGGACCCAGAAATGACGACCTACTCACCTCACCTCTCCTTTAGTACAATTGTTATTCATTATGTAATTGTATCTAGAAGCAATAAATGTACTTCTAAAACCTATTGTTAAGGTATTTAAGACAGAATGCTAGAAAACTGGAATTTGTTTCCGACATTTCTTCAGAATCTCGGAGTATGCTTAGGTAAAATTATATGTTTATGAAAAATGTTATTTAAATGATTGATAATTTTCAAAGAAAAGTCATTTAACAGTAAATACGTTTTCTTCGTTAAAGCAATTCAAGAAAAAATATTTAACTTTTGTAGATAGTTTTCTGTTGAAAGATTAAGAAACATTCTATTAAATAGCGAACAAAAATAAAATTCTGAAGAAAAAATTTAAAGATACGAATGCGAAAAACTGTTATTAACAAAAAAAATATAGAAAAACTTTTTGTAATAATGGTTTAACACAGCAAAATCGAACTTTTTTTTAATGAAACTATTTCTCTTTTTCAGTAATTGGCTGTGGGCTGACTCTCTTCTTTACCAACATTTTCTGTCTAAATTCAATACAGAAGTATCAAGGTAGAGTTTAGGGTTGTATTTAATAGGATAAAAATAAAATGTCGAAACGGCTGAACCAATCAGGCCCAACTTTTTTTGTGGCAACTCACATGAACCCCAGGAAAGTTTAATGGCTGGTCAGAATAAAAAAGTTGGGCAAGAATAATTTGGTTAAATTTTTATTGTTATTATTCCGGCAATAAAACATCAAGGAATTCTGTATTAATATTATTTTGTTTTTAAGGGACATCTTGTTTCATTTAAATGTTTTTAAACAATTTACAGCGATAACCAGAAAACTTTGGAATGGGAAGGCGACTTTTAGAAATGTCCAATGAGCATGAGACACAGCAATTGTATCAAGTAAAACTATTTTTGCTTTGTAACAACATCAAAAGCACATACTTAATGATTGCTTTAATGTCGACTTCCTATTTCACTGTTTTCTAGTTATGGCAGTAGTTAAATCATTGTTAAATAATACAGAAATATTTAATCTCATTGTTTTAGGTTTGGCAAGGAAAAGTTGGAAGTTGAAGTTGAGCGTCTACGATCCATGAACAAGGTGTTGGAACAAGAATGTGTTCTTGAGGTCGCTGATAATACTAAACTTGGATCAGAATACAGGTGGATATCATCTTTATTATTTCTAAACCCATATTTTACTCATCTAAGGTTTGATAATGAAAGGGCAGAACAGCCATGAATGTACCTAATTTTTTGTTAATGGTATAAATGGACAAAAGTATTCCGTTTCTTACCAAATCCCTCTCAAGCATGTTTTTTCACATTGAACAATAAATAACTTATAACTACAGGAACAAAATATAATGAATAGCAAGATATGGTTGAACTGCGTAAACATAGTTCAACCATTTCTGTAAACCGGCTCACAAGAGAACACATAGATTCAGACTACTATGAAAAACTGCATACATTTTTCAAGAATGGGTCGATTTTGAAGTGTCGTAATGCCTTGGACTTTATTATTACCTTACTAACTCAATCTTTTTTGTAGACCTAGACATGTACTGGAAAGCACTTGTTTTTAGCTTTAGTCACAACAAGAAGTAATTGGAAAAATTCTCATTAATTTTTGCTTGAGAACTTGTTGCAACCTATAGATCACTGTGAGAAGTGGTTAAACTATGTCTGCGAAGTTCTGACCTGACCTCATGTTTCTAATAGAAAGAGTAAGATAAAAAGATATTTTGTTGTTTACTAGAATGGCTGCACCGACAGTAGAAGGATATGTTATAGATGAAACTAAACCTTGGTGTCCCAAGTTTGGTTTTAGTGAACCATATTTCTACGAGCTGGTCAAACAGAAAATGTATAAAAGGTTGGTCAAAAAAATCTAGGAAAATAATCAAAATTATAATAAAAACATAAAATAAATGAAACAAAGGAACTGATTACTCGTCCCAAACTATAATTTTTTAGACTTCTAATATCCGTGTAACCTGGTGATGTACATTGTACACCTTGGTTATCAATCTAACATTAAGAAGCAAAGATTTAAGAATCAGAAAATCAAAGTTTCCTTTCATTTTGGAATCTGTCCAAAAGCTTTTAAATGAACATATTTCTAAAGCGTATCAACAGTTCATAGTTATATTCTTTTAACCTTCATTATGACCAAGGAGAATTGAATAGAAGGAGGGGGCGATAGGGTTTCCGTACACTTTGCTGTGACGTTTTTGGACTGCTGAAGAACTAGTTTTTGCGTAACAATAATATCAAAGGCAGCCAATCTAATGTAAACAAACATGAGTTAGTGTACGGTGAATCTTCATCTAACGCGCCAGAGATGCCAGATGTCTGTTTATCATTTTTGTTATTGTTTACAATCTTTATTATTGTTGTTACGCAAAAACTAGTTCTTCAGCAGTCCAAAAACGTCACAGCAAAGTGTACGGAAACCCTATCGCCCCCTCCTATTCAATTCTCCTTGATTATTACTAATGGAAATATCTTTTCCATTTGATATTAAATAACTGTCGGCCATTGTATTGCAGATGTTTTCCCTTCTATCAGCAGGAAAATATCTAATGTTTCTCTCTTAAATACTAAAGAAAAAACAACTCTTCACTAAAATCCATGATTCATTCGGTCAGAGTACCGCAGATCACAACAGTACGCACCGAAAGCTTAGTTTAGGGTGATATAGACGCCGTCCTTTTTAGTTTAAGATTTAAAGGGAACAGATGTGAATCGAATATGGCATAAAACAATAAACCTTAATAATAAACAATAAATCTTATTTTTAGGACTGACAATTCTTTAAATCCTATAACCAAGAAGATGGGATTTGCTAGTTTATCATCGCAGGTAGGAGGGGCGTATACAGGACTTTGTCCGGGGGGGGCAACCTTTTTTAACTTTCCTATTACCATGAAGCTGAGCCCTCGTAGCTCCTCCGCCCTATACACCCATATTACAGGTGAAACAGAACCAACAAGAAAAACAGCAAATATCGACGAAAACAAAAATGAAGAAAATACGACTATAACAACAGAAGACAACAAAGATAGACTAATGAAGAGTAGAAATTAAAGCTAGCATTAAGAATTTGAAAGAAATGGATAAATAGCTTTAATTCCATAGCTAATAGGAGGCAGTGATTTTTATTACTGAAAAATTTTGTTTAGCTGTCTTTGATATAACGTTTTTTATTCAGTTAATTGATGAATTTGATCACACATTTTCTTTTACGTTTTTGTAAATAAAGAAAGTTTTCATTTAACGATATTAGGTTCATAATCGTGTTCATGTACATGATTATATTAATCATGCTGTTTTCCTTCCACACCATACAGGAATTTACTCGTGACGCGGCGTATATAACTCATTCACGGATTTTAACAAAAAACGCGGCTTTTGTTGTTTAGATTCAACTGATATTTATATTTTAGCGGATTTTTTCAATATTTGAACATTTTTGTCAAACATTTGGTTTAGTTCGGGATGTGGGGTTATCGAAACCATTTTCGACGATCATCGATTGTAACAAAATCCATGATTGTTTCATGCAATTTTTTTAATATACTAAAAATCTGAATTATGTTTTAACATTTCGACAGCAATATTTATATTAATTCAAACCCTAGTGAATTTTCGGGCACACTTTTTATATAACGTGGACAAAAGGACGGAGGGTTGAAGCGCTTCGGTCAATTGAGCACAAAATACAATATTTGTAATTTTTCCTGCGCGCGCTTGCAATTTAATAGAGCGGAGATCAATTTTATTCATATACATATATATATTTATATATGTATACTGTTAAATGCGTTTAGGACTATAAAAAATGAGAATTTAAACCTTTCTTATAAAAATGTATTATTTTTTTCGTGACGTTCAGAGAGAAACTTAATCCTGTTTTTTTGCAACCAATGCGTTTTGCAAATATTTTTTCTAATGAAAAATAAAAACAAGGATTGGCTTTCATTTTGGAGAGTCATAAATATATGGCTGCTAGGTCAAATTTTTTAAAGATGTGTGGCTAATCGTAATTATGATTTTAATTTTATCAAATTTTTGTCAAATTTCTTTTTCGGTGCACCTTTGAAAGTATGTTGTTTATCGGAAAAAGAAAATTTTATTGAATTGAAGCTTAAACATTTACAGGGTGGCCAAAATGTACGGATTGTACGGATTGATTTTTTTTTACCCTAAAATTGTACGGATTGTACGGATTGTACGGATTAATTTTTTTTAACCCTAAAATTGTACGGATTGTACGGATTGTACGGATTTGTTTTCAAATTGTACGGATTGTACGGATTTTATCCTGGAAAATACACCGTTTTTTTT